TTCAGAAATACTTGGGAGATTTTGGGGGTGGGGCCCTGAGGAGGGCAGGGCTTGGGGAGAGGAAGAACTTCAATGGGGTATAATTCCATAGAGTCCACCTTCCAAAGCGGCTATTTTCTCCAGGTGAACTGATCTCTGTTGCCTGGAGATCAGTTGTAATCCCGGGAAATCTCCAGCCACCACCAGGAGAGGTTGGCAAACCTAAACCATTAGCTCCACGCTTAACGCACTGCTGTGTCCAAACTTTCCCCTTATTAGGCAACTTGGTCACTTAGTGGTGGCAGAGATGCCTAACTAGGAGAGCATTGCAGGGAGAGCTGTACATTGCATTGGTCAGGCTGCACCTGGAGGATTGTGTGCAGTTCTGGAGGCCTTACTTCAAAAAAGGATGTGGGCAGAATGGAGTGCATGGAGAGAAGAGCAATGAGGATGATCAGGGGCCTGGAGACCAAGCCCTATGAGGAAAGGCTGAGGGGCTTGGAAAAGTTCAGTCTGGAGGAGGTTGAGGGGGGACAGGATTGCTCTCTTGAAATATTTGAAGGTCTGTCCCTTAGAGGAGGGCAGGGAGCTGTTCCTGTTGGCAGCAGAGGAGAGGACTCGCAATAATGGGTTCAAATTAAGGGTGGGAAGGTACCGGCTGGATATTAGGGAAAACTTTTTTACAGTAAGAGTTGTGCAACAGTGGAATCAGCTGCCTAGGGAGGTGGTGAGCTCCCCCTTACTGGCAGACTTTAAGCAGCTGCTGGACAAGCACGTCAGGGATACTGTAGGCTGATCCTGCATTGAGCAGGGGGTTGGACCTGTATGGCCCTTTCCAATGTTGTGAGTCTATGATTTCTATGAATCAGGGCTGCTATGGAGGGCCAGATGGGAATACAGTTGCCAACAGACTTGAAGAACATCCTGTCCCTTTAATACTGGCTTATTGAGTGCACTGGTCATTGACTGTAAGAATAAATTTGATTTGATACTGGCTTAATGATGGTCTGTTTACCAGGATGTATTATTTACCGCCAGGCCTTGAAAAGCTTCAGCTGCCCATTTCCACAGATCAAGCCTCTATTAAAGGGACAGGACAGTTTTCTCCAGGCCTCTGGGCAACCCCGCATGGTTAGTCCAAGGACCAGCTGAAGCTTCAGTTGCCCATGACTAGTCCGTGAGAAACAGAAGCCCCATGCAACTGGATTCAAGCTGTACCCCCGCCCAGAGCATGCAGGGCTATCTATCTGATCTTTGCCTCACTTCTTGAACTCCGCCACACTACGAGCGATAATTATGTAACGAAACATCTACAAATTACGGAAACTCAGCCTGCAATCAAGGGAAAGGTTCCTGTCACCATGAATTCCTATTATCCTTCATGTACTTAATGCGTCTCAATATTTCCTGCTGGCAAAATACACAGTGGTAGAATGCCAGAGGTTTTAAGTCAGTACGGAATGTTAAGACACCGTTTAGCAATACGTCTGACTTTACTCCACGTTGAATGTGTTGTGACGTTGAAAACAGTAGCCAAACAAGAACAATTTCCACCATCCAGTCCTTCGTTACAAGCTGGTGACCTCATTGATCCAAATGAGATGGAATGACGCCTTCTGAAAACGTAGATTGGCTCAAGGTGAGCTACCGTTTATTCTGCTTTATTTTATTCTCAGGACACTCTGTTGTATGATTTCCGTTTCCTAACTATGTACATCACTATTGCAGTAAACAAGCTGGTCTGCTCCCTCTTCCTGGACGTGTTTTTCCACATGCAGAGATTAAAAAGCAATGTTTAGTCGTGTGTGGCTCTGCCACCTGCAGTCCAAGGTGGTACAACCGAGACAGTTTTTCCTCTCCTCTACTAGGGCAGGGCAACAGCAGGCTCAGTCCTGGCTCCTAACTGACCACAGTAAGCGAACTGGAAGCCAGATCTCTACCCAGGGGTGGTTAGCACCAAAGTTATGGACAGTTATGGCTATCTAGGGTTTGAAGCCAGTTTAGTGGGTTTCAGATCCAGGTTTAAAGAGTTATAGGAATCTTCTTGGGGGGGGGGGGTCTTCAGGAAAGGCACATTAAGACATTTATTTCCTGCAGCATCATACCTATAGCAGTCCTGTGTGGAAACCTTTCAAAAGTCAGCATGCCAACCTTTCAACGTGCATGACTAGATGCTTTTCTATCAAGCATCTCTTTGGCTTTTCCAGGATTTCAGCTTTATAATCTGTAACATTTCATGTGTGCTGCAGGGGACAGACCTGTCTGTTTTCTGAATGTCTACAGAAAAACATCCAGTTCATGTATTAAGAGGCAATGATTGCTCCCTTGCAGGCCAGTCGGCAATGGAATAAGTAAGACTTATCGATAAAGGCCAATTTATAAACACTGCAATCTAAAAAGAAAACATGCAGAGATTAGATAGGGCGAGACCAGAAATCCTTTATAAAAGGCCCAAAGCAGCTGATAAGAATGGCTAATAAAACAGGTAGCAGGAGTTAAAAACTAAAACTATACAGAGCTTTATTCTTGTCTGCAGAGATCAAGACTAAAGGCCACTGACTGACTAAAGGCCACTGTCTTTCATAGGTAATGCATCTTATATAAAATATTTCTCTCCTACTTGTCTACTAACCATCCTAGCTGTCTTACAGGGTAATCCTAATATACTACAACCTTCTAAACCCATCGATTTAAACAGACGTACACCCTTCTAACTCTATTTAGGATTGCACTGTTACTGTATTTAAAAGCTACTGTGTCATAAACTAAGATGACTGAAGGATGGTTCTTTCACTGTCACTCCACACTCAGTGGGCTTTTCTTCTCCCTGAGCCTCCAGTTCAGGGGTGTCAAACATGTGGCCCAGGGACCAGATCAGGCCCCTGGAGGGCTTCTATCAGGCCCGCACTGGAATTGGCCATCTCCTGCTTCCAGTTCTGCTGCTGCATCATAGCTTGCTTCCCCAGACTCTCTCACTCGCTCAGCCATTTCATGTTTTAACCTGGGTCCTAGACTCAGAACTCTGAGCATGAGATTTCTGTGGTAAATGTCAATAAATCAAAAGTAGGATTGCAGCTTACAGATACACACTTGAACAGCATACTCAAGATTGCAACAGTACAGACATTTTGATGCAATAATTCAGAACAAGAGGTGTCAATTATCAGATACTGTTAAATAAACAAAATATTGCTAGAGTGCTACTGTTTTACGTATGTTTTTATTTTAAGTAAAAAAAAATCTTTGTGTTTGTGTACTTTATAAAGTTTATATCTCCACTACCTGGCATTACATTTTATGACACACATGGCCCGGCCCAATAAGGTCTCATTTATGTCAGATCCGGCCCTCATAACAAATTAGTTCAACACCCCTCCTCCAATTGATCTGGCTGATGCATCTACTCCTGATTTCCAGCTTTGTAGCAAGCCAAAGGGAAATACTCATTCCACATTTAATTTTGCTCTGTTGTCTTTCTTCAGTGCTGGATGTTTTCATGCATCAATTTAAATAATGGCAATTGTTCTTATAATTTTCTAGAGTTTTACCATTTTGAGCAGATTCTTATTTGGAAAATCAGGATAAAAAGACTTTAAAGAAAATTCTTAAGTAACCTGCCCTTCCCCTTTAAAATCCAAATATGGACTACAACTAATTAAAAGTTGTCTATCACATTATATTTCTACAAAAAACAAGTATAGTGGAAGGGAAAATATGCTCCTTTTTAATCCTTTGGGAATGTTTCTAGTTGCATTCAGACACTACAAAATGGAATGCATGTACACAATACAGCGTAAGCCGATTTGTTAGTCCCTTAGCTATTTTATTTTAAAATTCCAATGGCAGCCAAAACTCTTAGCTTGAACAAACAGCTATGAAGCACATTAATCTTCCCACAAAGGAAAGTTCTTGGCATGCCTCCTGCAGCCAGTGGTCAATACACGGGAGTTAAGCCTGCAGAATCAAAGTAGTTATTTTTATATTTGATTGAACTGCATAGCGGGAGACATTGCCTAGTTTCAGTTCTCAGACTCCCACTAGAGGGGGCTCAATTGTTCAAGTACCTTCCCCTGCATAAAGGCTGTGCAGCAAGCAACACTTCAAAAAGTTATGATCTGCTGGGTTAATAGCTGTTCCGCCAACACAAGAAAGGGAATATTCATCGCTATTTTGTTGACTAGCTATAAAGACATTAGGACGCCTTAAGCAGCAGGGATAGGAAAAATTTACAGCCATGATTGTTAAAAGTGGCTGAATGGGGAACTGGGGTCTAAAATGTACATTGAGGGTGTCATCTGAGAGCCAGGCCCTAAAAACAAAATACATATGAGGGTGCCTTATGTTTTCAGACTACTGGACCTTCTAGCTATCTCTGTATAGTCTCTTCTAATAGCAGCCCTTCAAGGTCTCAGAAAGAGCTTATTCTCAACCATAATATCATTTTAATTGGGGATTCTAAGGACTGAACCAAGGCCCTCTGGCATTCAAAGTACAAGCACATGATGTTCCAGTATATGACCATGGGTCTCTCAAGGACAGCATTCAGTTCTCTGCTTTTCAGTGGCTCTATGGGGTCTCAAGCAGATGCCCTTAATATCATTCACTTCCTGATCCTTTTAACTGGAGATGCCATTGATTGAACTTGGGGCCATCAGTCCAGGGTTAAAAGAGGGAGGGGCAGGTGAATGGGAGGACAAAACTGATGTTCATGTATCTTAGATAGCACAGTAATCTTCCATCAATAAAGATGTGAAATAAAAATTTTATTGGATTAAAATATGGTAAAAGTTTGCTTCAGCTGTATCTAGACACTCATTAAAATAAGTTTATATGATGTCTATACAAGATTATAGTAGACAAAATAACAGACAATATTTACATATTTTCATATATACAAGAGAAACATGCAAGGCATCAAGAATTTACAAAGAACAAAAAAAATCAATAAAACAGGATCAACAGCCACCATCGCATGTTGTAGAATCAATTATAAATAAAATGTTTAAAATTGTCCTTCAGCTCCTCCTTACCATTAGGACAAAAGAGAAATAAGTGCATCCAGAAATTTACTCCGATCTTCCATTTTCAGTTCTATTACTAAAGAGGTAAAAGAAAGTTTGTTATTATGTGTTACAGGATATTCGAGGATGAGATCCCAACACAATATAGTGCAGCATTTTCAGCATCAAAGGAACAACAAAAAATCTGTTCTGCAAACCTGTATTCACAGAATCCAAAGCAATGATGGCAATGTAACAGAACCCCATAGGAGCTTGCTTAGAAGAGAAGAAGAGATTGGATTTATACCCCTGCCCTTCACTACCCAAAGGTGTCTCAGAGCGGCTTACAAACTCCTTTCCCTTCCCCTCCCCACAACAGACACCCTGCAATGTTCCCTCTAAGCTGCGGAGTCTTGTGAGCAAAATTTTACTTTGTGAGCCACTGGCATTAAAGCTGTGAGCGAGCGATTTGGCTGCTACAAAAATTAGTTTGCTCTGGAGCCGTCCTTCCTGAACGAGGACACAAATGTGTGAGCTAGAGGCTGAAAAACAGTGAGCTAGTTCACACCAACTCAGCTTAAAGGGAACACTGAGGTAGGTGGGGCTGAGAGAACTCTTGACAGAAACTGCTCTTTTTCAAGAACAGCTGTGCCAGAACTATGCCTTGCCTAAGGTCATCCAGCCAGGTGCAAGTGGAGGAGTGGGGAATGAAACCCGGTTCTCCCAGATTAGAGTCCGCGCACTTAACCACTACACCAAACAGGCTTACAGGTTATGTTCACTAAAGTACTAAATCTGGGAATTAGTCTGCCCGATAAAATACTCTTAAAAAGAAGGCTAAACTAATAATATGTGTACAGAAATTTCAGAGTAGCTGACAGGGCTCCATATGGCATGTTGCAGGAAAAACACGTTTACTTACTAGACATGTCAAAATGGTTATGTAGAGTCCTGGAATTGGTATTCTCTGCAGCTTTTTCAAATGCTCTTCCAAAAAAGCTAAGTGTTGGGGGAGAGAGGTAGAAAAAGCTTTAGCATTTCCGAGAGCACATTAAGTATTCCCTCCTTCTTAATCACTTGTGAATACCATGAACACAACATTTTAATTAGAGGTTAACTTTGCAACTATGGAAACTAAGCAGAACAGAGATCTATAGGAAACTGCTGCAAGTCAGGGGGGGACAATACTGAGCTAGGTGGACAAGTGGTGTGACTTAATTTAAGGCAGCTTCATGTTTTTTAGCCCTTTCACTGAGGAGTACCGCTTTCATCTCCTACTTAATTTTGTTCTCAATAACCCTATAAGATAGGCTAGGCAGAAAGAGAGACACAGACAGACTCTAGTCCAAGGTCACCATCCATCAAGCTTCATAAGCGAAGGGTAGTTATGAAATCAAATCATTCTCATCTAAGTCAAACATTATTCATAGTGAACCACAGTGGCTCTCAGTGTGCACACATAAGTGTGCATAGTTTGCATATTTCACTGCAGTGGCAGAATGCAGGATTTAAAGAAAACTACCACACCAGGCATCAAGAAACATTGCTCGTATTTGCCAACAGGCTGAATTTACAGTACATCTTCTGTGTTTTTTTTAAAAAGGCACAATAGAAATGCCCTTACTTCTTTTTGTCGGAGCTTTCTGTTTGAGGTGGAACCCCCACCATGATCACTGTCCCTTGCTCGACATCCATTGGTGCGGCCATAACCATTGGCAACAGTTTACAGCGCTTGTTTCTCGTCTGGAAGCCAGAAAACAATTTAGTTATACAAAGCTCAAAGATTTTAAAAAAAATGAAAGACAAATAAAAGACAAGCAAACATAACCTCTGCTATTGATAGAGAGGCTTTGGGGGTTAAAGTCACCTGAAAAACTGCAAACCTGTTCCGTGACATTTACTTGAACACATCAATAACCAGACAACAGTCTTCCCTTCCATTAATTAAACACATGCTAAGCTTTATGTTCTTTTTATTACACTAAAGGTAATTTACATTTAACACACTTTAATACAATCATTTTTAAAAGACGTTCTGTAGCGTACAACAATAATTAAACTGTTAAGTGCACCGTAAAGAACTTAACATGTTGAAGTGGATGAAATGCTTACCAAAGAGACCACAAAACACAGCAGGACTGCTTTTAGTTGCCTAGAACATTTTAATTTCTTTTGTAGATCTGTAATTTCTTCACCATCTCAAAGGACTAAAGAAGAGATGTTGTTCTCCAAGCACATAGGCTTGGGTCACATGAAACACCAAACCATTTTTTTGGCACTGTGTGAACAAGCCTTGTGCCTGCACACTCCAATCAAATTAGCTACTTTCTCTTTGTAAACTATAGTTACTGTATGCTAGTATGACTTGTAACCGTGAATCAGAAGGCAAGCAACAAGCAACAGTTTGCAGGTAATGATACGGTACAATTTGCATTTGACCACAAGTAATTAATTGAACTGGAACACACAAGGGCAGAAGGGCACATGAATGTACACAAGGCTTGTTCATATTGAACCAAGCCATAGGTCCTCAGAAATAATGTAGTTCCTTTTCACCATTCTTCCAATACTGCTACTCTTTAACAGTCAGTCTTTGACTCAGTATGTTGCTTAATTAAAAAAATAAAAAAACCCCAAATGTTATCTGAGGTAAAGGGAACCTCTATTCTGGTTACCCATGTCTAGAAGGAGAAAGATTAAGTTACTTACAGAACAAATGAAGGACTTGAGCAAGTATTTACTAAGCAGGCACAAGGATACTGGTCTGGAGAACAATTTCACATCTGGTGTTCCCTGGAAAACAAAATTATTTACACCAGAAAAGGCAAAAGAAGCAGTAATGCCTTTAGAAAAGCTGCAGAGCAGACAGCCTATCTAGATGTGCGCAAGTGATAAGGAGTCATGCTGCCCGCCCACCCTCCGCCAGATAACTCTTGCTAAGTTTCAAAAGGGTCATGTCCAGCAGTATGCAAAGTTGCAGTTAAAACAAATAAAAGTTCAGAAGACTCTGTTATGGGCATGATATCTGACACACAGCTTCCTGGGTACAAGAACAGTATTCTGAAATACTAGCAGCCTTACTAATTTTGCTCAGAAATACTGTTCATGCAATGCAAAATTTTAGGTTGCTATTGTTGCTTTAAATAGAGAACTTACAGAACAAATGAAGGACTTGAGCAAGTATTTACTAAGCAGGCACAAGGATACTGGTCTGGAGAACAATTTCACATCTGGTGTTCCCTGGAAAACAAAATTATTTACACCAGAAAAGGCAAAAGAAGCAGTAATGCCTTTAGAAAAGCTGCAGAGCAGACAGCCTATCTAGATGTGCGCAAGTGATAAGGAGTCATGCTGCCCGCCCACCCTCCGCCAGATAACTCTTGCTAAGTTTCAAAAGGGTCATGTCCAGCAGTATGCAAAGTTGCGGTTAAGACAAATAAAAGTTCAGAAGACTCTGTTATGGGCATGATATCTGACACACAGCTTCCAGGGTACAAGAACAGTATTCTGAAATACTAGCAGCCTAGATTATCCAAAGCCTTGATTTTGCTCAGAAATACTGTTCATGCAATGCAAAATTTTAGGTTGCTATTGTTGTTTTAAATAGAGACAGATAGTGTGGCTTCCAAAGTTTCCCCCAAAATCAACAACCTGCTACAGTATTAATTAGGTTTGTGAAACTAAACTGTCCTGGTAGTGAACTGTTAAAACTTGGTTTGGCATGCCAAATTAAGACTTTTAGAAATAAGGAAGAAGTACAAGGAAAATTTACCTCCATCAGGTAGCAGTAAAGGAACGGTCCCTGCGAAATTATGAGATTGGTACAGATGCAGCTGGCCACAGTGCGCTGAATGACACACAGCTGCTTTTTTGCTAGCTCCAGCCCTTGGTGCAGCTTATCCAGGTTACTTCTAAAGGAAGGGGAATACAGGAGAAAGATGAGAACAAAGTTTGAGTCCGGCGGCACCTTTAAGACCAACAAGTTTAATTCTGGGTATAAGCTTTCATGTGTACGCATGCTTCTTCAAATACAGTGAAAAAGAAAGCAAGCTGTCAACTGAAAAGGAAAGCTAAGAAACTAAACCCATCCTGTCATCTTGCTTGGCTCATGTATACACAAACCCTTCCTGTACGACACACATATCTTGTTCCTCCCCCCTCCTTTATGTGGAGAATTCAAGATAAAAACTAACTCTGGTTACCCGTGACACACAATCACAAGCATGCAGATGATTTTGCTTAACTGCAGTTAAGTAAGTCACAGGAAAATAATGCCTAAAAAAGCAAGCACATATTACCTGGAAAGACTATCCAAAGCCTTGATAAAGTTATCAGTTCCGCTTTCATCCTTTTCCGTATTTTCCATTAAAGAAGAAGCTGCATACACTACATCGCTGGCTAAGAATTTATTTTTAAAACCAAAATGGATGCTGAAGGTTTGAACTCTTAAATCCTTCATTCTGCAAAATCAAATTGAGTCATTGGAAAGACCTTCAAATATATTTCCCCCACTGTTGTATTAGCAGTAAAAGATACTAAATACTTTTCTTAAAAGTCCCAAAATGGTTCACACATATTCAACCACCACTGAGAATGACCCCGTACATCAGGATCTACATTGTCTTCACAATACAGATGCTGGAGCAGAGAGAAAGTACACTGCCCTCATTTGTTTGGAAGAAAGACACAACAGAAATACAAATGGTAGGACTATTCAGATTTGCGATTCAAAAGCAAGAGCAAATTCAGCACTGAGGGAGAGCTTCTGCTTTACCAGTAGTTGGTGTTATGAGCTCCATGGCATCTGGTTCAGGGTGCGATCGTCTCTCGTGTGAGTCCTTCAAGTAGTGGGGAAAAATTCTAACAAACATTAAAAAGTGTGGTTTACCCAAACTTATTTGCAGATTCTTCAATCATCTCCCGTAGGTTCTCTTTCAACGAAATGTCCATAGAATGAAATTTCTGTTTTACTTGCTTCAAAGGTAAGCTATTTAAAACAGAGAGAGAGAGAGAGTATTCTGAGGGAATCTTAGTAGAAGAGTCCTCTTTTATCCCCAGAGTTCCTGGGATAGAGATCAGAATCATCATAGTTATCTCCATGTTTCTCAAAGGGGGGTGGGGGGAAGAGACTTCTCTTGTATTGCTTCAACTTGGCAAGGTATTATAACTCATACGGAGCTAACATTATAAAGTACATATCGTAATTCAAACTTGTGTATAAAATTAAAAAAAATATCTCCATGCTTAATTCCAATTGTGATTGCTTGTTTGTAATGGCTGCATTCTGTTGACGAAACAGATTCTCCCAAACACCCCAGGTGACAGAGTTTGTCCTGAACTTCTGACTCACCCCATATCAGCAAAGAATTCCTGTAGTTTCTTCTGGCCTTGCACTGACCACAGCTTGAGGCTAGCAGAAGTGTAACAAGTGTTACAGAGGCTTTCATATAGAGACCAGTGTTGATAGAGTGCAAGACACAAGCTACAACCATCAATAGGAATCAGGAACAACAATTAGAGTATCTTCGGTGTAAAAAGTCAATTATATATGGATTTAAAATAATCAACTTCTCCCTATTATCATGTCTATATCACCACCACTATAAGCTAAAATGAAATTGTTATAGATGTGAACTTTTGACCTATATCCCATGATTACACGAAAAACTGCCCAGGTGGGAATTAAGTAATATTGCGCCTGTTCTTTACTTTTCCAGACCTGATGAAGGCAGATACAAACTAGCTAACGCGTAAGGATTGGAAGGCCCCGGGGGGGGGGGGGGTGTCCCCTCCCACCCTCTAATGATTTTATTCAAATTCCCCAGCTGAAAAACTGGGAGTTTTGTAGAACACACACAAAAATTTTATGAAATATTCTCTTTTGGAATTAGTGAAATGATTTTTAAGACAAGATTTTCATGGGAAATGATCTACAGCATTCGATCATAATTCCTGCATATACAGTAGGAAATCCACAATGCATTTCTGCACCAAGAAGCTGCTGCCTTCTTCATATGATTGGGAAGTTAAACTGACCCAGCGGCAAGCCAGCTGAGTGGCTCATGTTGTGCAACGAGCCGCTCAGCCCAGACCTGGCTAACGATGCGCTGAGTGGCCCCGACTCCCAACAGCACTGCTGAAGCTTGCTCGCTCCTGGCTGCCAGTAGCCCTCTGGAACAGTGGAAACTTTCTCTGTAAAGTTTAATGGCTTCTACCTCTGAGTATGAGAGAGACTGAAGCTTGGTGCACACATGGTAAAGAATGAGGTGGTAAAAAAGTGGCAGGGCCCAGAGGTGGCAGAACGGACTTCATGTGAGAGATCCCAGCTTTGATCTTTTCTTTGTAAAAAAAACCCCACTTCGTGCATATAAGAACATAAGAGAAGCCACGTTGGACCAGGCCAATGGCCCATCCAGTCCAACACTCTGTGTCACACAGTGGCTAAAACCCAGGTGCCATCAGGAGGTCCACCAACAGGGCCAGACTCCAGAAACCCTCCCACTGTGGCCCCCTAAGCACCAAGAATACAGACCATCACTGCTAGGAACTAGCACATCAGAGATGCCTGTATATAGTTAAGTGTTTTCAAAATAAATTCTTTTACTGTTGACCCTGAGAAGTCCCTCTGTACCACATAGTTCCCCCAGCCGCTTGGACATGCTAAGAGTGGGTTGGGGACTCCCTAAGGAGGAGAATAAGGGCAAAATGGTCATTTGCCAACTCTCCAGGGGAGCCCCAAAGATTACCAGGAAGCCCCAAGGTGGGTTCCAAGTGACATCAGAGGGAGGTTAGGAGGCTGTCCCGCCTGACCAGAGCCCAAGACAGGGACAGTGGTGGCAGCAATACCTGGAGGCAGTGGTTAAAAACTGCCCCTTCAGGTGCCAGGCCAGGCAAAGGAGGGGTGGGCAGAGCGGGGTCTGCCAGCTGACGCGGGCCCGTTCCGCCACACAGCTTATAACATCATTTCTCCCATTTTACTCTAACAGCCTTCTGAGGCTAAGCCAAGAATGTGTGACTGGCCAAAGGGCACCCATGAGTTTCCATGGCAGAGCGGGGATTCAAAGCAAAGTCGTCAGATCCCCAAAGTGCCTAATAATGAGAACACTTTTATAATTAAAGTTTATATAGCACCTTTCCTAGCCACTGAAGGCAATTTACAAATACTGATTTAAACCAAAAGTTTAAAAAAATTGCAAGTGTCAAAACAATCCAAGAAAATCCACACATTATACACAAAGATACGGAAGTCTAGATACATTTTTCAGACAAACAGCCTATAGATTGAGACAGTCATAATAAACAGTTGGCTTAGCCCAAATTGGTTTAATGGTCTGGGACCCATGTCTTCTGGACCGCCTCTCCTTGTATACCCCCAGAAGAGCATTACACTCGGCAGCAAAGAACATACTGGTGGTCCCCAGTCTAAGGGATATCTGGCTATCCTTGACCTGGTGGAACTCCAGCCCAGTGGAACTCTCTGCCGAACAACTTCCGTGCCCTGCAGGACATTATGCAGTTCCACAGAGATGTTCTGCGTCTGGCTTTTCCAAGAATCATGTATCACCTACTAAAAATGCTTTAAGGTATATACAATGTGGGGGGAAAATCAGAAATTGGGTCATTAATAAAATGTCTGCTGTAAAGTGCCTTCAGCAGTATCATGAAGTGATGAATGCGATTTTCTGCCAGCAACATGCAGATTCATGGTCACAGCTGTGTTGGTGGTACTGAGCCTTTAGAACTCTCTTCCCTGGTTCCATCTCAACTCAGTTATGAATGTCAGGTCAAGTCATCCTTTTAGAGACTGGCAACTGATGATTTCTGATTCCCTTATTACTTTAGGTATTCTGTCTTTCATTGATTCACTACTTCATTTAAATTTTTAGCCAGCCTTTATTATTTAGATATTTATATCCTGCTTTTCTCCCAAGGAGAGCCTAAGCAGCTTATAACATCATTTCTCCCATTTTACTCTAACAGCCTTCTGAGGCTAAGCCGAGAATGTGTGACTGGCCAAAGGTCACCCATGAGTTTCCATGGTAGAACGGGGATTCAAAGCAAAGTCGTTTAAAAAAATTGCAAGTGTCAAAAGACATTATGCAGTTCCACAGGGCTTGAAAAGCAGAGATGTTCTGCTGGGCGTTTGGCTGGGGACAGTGACAGTTCCATCTGTCTGGCACTCCTACTCCCTGCCTTCCCCCTTGAGGCAGTGGCACAACTAGAAGTTCTGCGCGTCATCTATGTAGGCCAATAGTTGTGTTTTTATTGTATTTTGATTGTTTCAATTATGCATTCATTATATTCTATTGCTGTACAGCTCCCTGAGCCCTGTCTTCACAGGGGAGAGTGGTTTTTAAAAAATATTCCAATTTAATTAATTAATGCCAAGCAAATAAGCCTCCAACATTATAACCATAAAACAAAACTGATCCAGCAATAAAACATAAGGCAAAAACTAAAAAAGAAAACACACAAATGAACAGGATTGACTTTTCCTGGGTACTTAAAAAATGTTAGAAGTGGGTGCCAGGCAAATTTCAACACAGAGCAGATTCCCTTGACTGTTTTTGGTTTTGCTGCTGTGTTTAAATGGATTTCATTTTCTTAATGTTTATTACTGTTATTGGTAACAAAATCAGTAATAAAGGTTCCATATGTGGATGGAAAGGTGGGATGAAAATACTTTAAGCAGACTAAATACTGTGTTCACGTTCCATAGGAATGCTGTTCATACAGCGCTCTGAGTACACACAAGCTCCAAAGTTAAGTACTGTATTGTTGATAACTCTGCATGCACAATGAGGATGTGTAATTTGAACAAAAGCAATTTGGTGTTTACTATAATTAATCAATTTGTTATAAAAGAAAAAAGTTGATCACTTACTGAGTGATTTTGTCATGAACCCACTGATCCGTTAGCCCAACAATAGCCCACCTAAAAGAAATCAAGAATTTTGGAGTATTCAACCATAGTCCAATCAGTTTTTAATAAAGTACAAATACTTAAAAGATTACATAATATAAACTTTATGGGGACTGGATGCACTTTAAATTACACAAAACTGTGTACAGCTTTCATCCAGAATTTATTTACTTCTACTTTAAATAACATTTACAGCTTGAGTATCAAGGACATTTTCTTTTACACCTGGCACTTGCTTTCAACGGAAATGAAATTCACATCTCATCCATACTGGATGTGGAAGACTTCTACAGATAGAGGATATGATAACATCTTAAAAAGTCAGGTTTCAGGGCAAGCATAGGACCTTGGAACACGGGAGGGTCATCAGAAGCCCTTATAGTCCATTTCTATCTATCAGAATTTTATACCATTTTATTTTTTATTTACTAGAACAGCAGCATTAAGAAGCCTCTGAAATCAAGCCAGCAAAATGACTTATCACACACACACAAAGGCCCCCCCCCCCAAAAAAAAAATTAGACTACATACCACAACATATCATTCAAGTCTTTGGACATTATCCATGCCAAGTCAAACATCATCATGGCAGACTAGAAAAGTAAAGAGCCCCAGATGTCAGTTCACAAACAGAAACAAATAATGGATCAACACTGGGAAGGGAAAGGAAGAATCAAATGGAAACAAATCTATTCAGCACCTTGTGTGGCCTGCTTGGTGCGCACTATTCCCTCCCCATTACTGTTCAGACAGTTCTTGTTCACATATAAACTTATACGAAATGCTAGTCTTACTTCTCCACAAAGCACGTTTATTTATTTATTTTTAAATGATGTATTCTTCCCTTCTAACTAGCTGGTCCTTGAGGTTACTTAAGATGCACTCAGAGCATGGCTTTAGCAACAAAATTTAACAGCGGGTTTTAATGGCAAATACACATGGGAACAAATGGTTAATCAATATATTGGTAGGGCTTTATAGGTTAGTGTCAGCATGTAGAGACTGCAGCAACTTTTAAATGGATCGCACCTTCTACACCTTCAACCACTAGAATTTAAAGCACAGCTGCATTTCCAAATGTGTAGCACTTGGAAGTTCTAATACCATAGTTAGTTTATAAAGAATGATCAAGTATGTGTATATATGTGTGTGCATCTCAGTCTACTTTACACAAAAACAAAGTCTCCTACTGCAAGAGCAACAACATCAAGTTCTTTAAGTTACGTGGTGGAGTCTTCAGTTTAAGCATCATATATTTTATACTTACAGAAGTCCCATGATATTCGTACTGCTCATAATCAAAGAGAATTTCCTGCCTAAAAAGAAAAGAACTGTTGCTCTTCCACATGTATTATGGCAGAAAGACTGAAGTCATTTAAAGTGTCTCCAATACTAAATAGAAAAAAGGACATCCGATCTAGAATTTTCCATACTGAACACTTGCATTTTGCACATAGAAGGACCCAGATTCTGCCTTTACACTCCAAGGATCTCAAAAAGCCAGTGTTGGAAAAGACCTTTTCTCTGCCCAAGACCCAGATGAATTGCTGCCAGTCTCGACAGACAATACTGACTAGCGACCTGACTCCATAAGACAGCTTCATATATGCATATGTATGCACAAGCTTCCTTCTTCATTTCAGTGCAGGCATTGTAAGTATCACTGGGGGCTTTCTTTTTGTTGACTGTGAAATAACTAGCACACAACAAATGTTTTACAGACAAGAATTACACTTCCATAGTCACTCTTTTCATACAAAGTGTGATTATTTGCCTTGGCAGTCATGAAAATACAGGTGAAAATTGTATCTGAAGAGTGAAATGTTTTAACGTGGTAAGTACTTTCAGTATTTTAATGTTGTTGCCTAACAATACTCTGCTTTCAGAATAATGCTACTGTGATTGTCCATTGGAGTTAAATTTGAGCCTCTGACAGATGGTTAAATAACACCAGGTACCTGTTGAGCACAAACATTCCCACAAGATAATGATTCTGTTGTCATAAGATAATGATTCTGTTGTATTTTAAAAACAACTTTTAAAAGACCATGAGATAAAATGCTTAAACTGTACTGGTTCTGTTTATCTTCCCTTTTGATAGCTACTTTAACTGTTTTCAAATTAGGGTTTTGGTCCTATGTCTGTTTTCTTGTAATTTTTGGAATGTTAATCAAAACAATGACAACATTTTTAAAAAATGGCATATGACTTTTACCTTCGGTCTTCTTGATGCACCAACAACATAAATATTTAGAGCATTTAATTTATATGGCCTCTTTACAATCACCAGAAGCTAAAATAAAATGCTAACAGGGACAGTTTGAAAGCATACCTGCGTGCCTCCCATTCTCTTCTTTGCCGTCGTTTCATTGTTCGTTCCACTATTTCCTGTACAGAGATTAAGGTTTTATTTACATAATACACACAGAAATTATAATACAGAGTACCTCTGTTTTGCATCCTGTTGCTAGCCTTGAAGCAAATACATGTTCTCTAAATGGATATTTTTCTATGAAAATATTCAGAATGGCACAGAGTATACAAATGAAAGAAACTGATGTACTCGAGGTTTGTGCGATGTGCATGAAACAAATTAATTGTCTTTCCCAGGTCAAAGAACCTCCTGAACCATCACCAAAAGTCACGCAATTAAGCACCTGCTGCATGTAATAGTAAAAGTAATGGTTCCATAGTATTAGGGATGCTCAGGGGTTTCTTCAGGATTTTTTCTTGTTTCAAAAATGAACATGAGGACTATTCTCGATCTAAAGTGGTTGAATAAATTGAGCTCAAGATCCTCTTCCTTGTATCAAAACAACTTACTGGCATCTATCAACTGCAGAAGAATTTCTGTCAGGGGCAGTCATAGATAATCAATCGCATTTTCATGACAAGGCAGCATCAGGGAAGTGCAGCAGCGTAAATGGCTATTGCTATGTATGAACCTGCACAGCAACTTCAATTATACTATCATTAATGTCTCCTCTCCATCCCTTTGTATATATGTACAGCTACTGCTCTATGCTGGGCTTTTACGGCAGTGGTCCTCACTCCATTGAATGGCCTTCTTAAATTTGTTTAGGAGGACCTCGGGCGTTGTCCTTTGTAAAGCTGAATTATTAAGGAAATAACCTGAGGCTGTTTAGCAGGACTAATAGTTCTCTTTTCTTTGCCTGTCCTTTTGTTTTATAGATTGTACTTGTTGTTATAACTGAAACTTTTAATCTCTTTTGTGAGCCACTCTGAAGAGAAAAACAGATTATACATCTTTTTATAATCTGAAATACTAACAAAGCACATATTCTCATTCGGTTCATCTTTCACCACCTCTTTCCTTTAATATTTGGGTACGTGTTTGAACTCTGTCAAGATACACACAACCAACCTCTTCAAATCGCTGGCGTTTTCCCGAAGGCTCCGATCCATCACTTTCATTCCCAGAATCCTCCTCGTCATCCCTGAAGATGTCATCATAGGCAGGAATTTCAAGGTCATCATCTTGCTTAACCAGGAGTTTAATCTAGCAAAATACATACTTCATTAAATGTCTATTCAATGCAATAATTATTGAAACAAAAAATATAATTTGATAATGAAACATAAAGCAGGGCAAAACTGTTTCTTCCTTCCTCTTGCCTGAGCCAAGCTCGGCTGATGGAAGAGATTTCTCCCCTTCCCCACTGCAGCCTCCCAGCCCATGTGACTATTAGCCCACATAGATCCCATGATCCTAGGAATACACTTTCCCAGGGTCAGAAAGAGCTGCAAAGGGAGGGGAAGTCCACGAAAGTCAGTGATCTTGATGTGGTCCTCACACAGACCTTGTGCTGGATCCAACCCATTCAATGTACAATCATTTGTTTTAAACAAGTGGTTTTGTTGCATTACTTTCATTTTGCAATTGCAACTATTTATGATATAGCTAATTTTGGAAGTGCAGATGGGATGAAGAGTACGAGAGTGTATTCTCAAATTTTGCCAACGGGCTCGTACAGCATCTCCAAGTTCCATTTGCTCTCTCTTTCTTATGTTATTATACCTAAAGGTTATCTCTGCTTACAGATTGTGGGATCCATGCCACTGTAAGGAGATTGTAGATTTATCAGTGTCTGCATAATATAACTTTAGATAGTTACTCTATGGATAGGTATAGATAGGAACTCTCAGTCTGGGGCAAGTGATGCATTGTATTCTTGGTGCTTGGGGGACAGTGGGAGGACATCTAGTGTCTTGGCCCCACTGATGGACCTCCCAGTGGCACCTGGTAGTTTTGGCCACTGTGTGACAGAGTGTTGGACTGGATGGGCCACTGGCTGATCCAAATTGGCTTCTCTTATGTTCTTAATGTTTTCAGAATGTTTTTCCCCTTTCAGCTGTTTGGCTATCAGCCATTGTTCTGTTACCGAGTTTGCACCATGTTCCGTGCAGCAAATGCAGACAGGGAGAAAATTTAAGATTTCTAACACTGGACTGGTTTAGATGTGTTTACTGACTGCCTAATTATGTCTTTATACAATAGAAAGGAAGCCACCTAAGAAAAAAAGCCAACTTCAAACCTCTTAAGGATAATCAAATGGAAATTTCCAATTAATAGTGCCTGTTTACACTGTTGTCACAGTGCTGAGGACATTAGACTCCCATACTGTATCGCTCATCTCCAAGGCACAGTTGCTAAGGAAGACATTACAATTCCCACTCAACTAAATTAGTTCCTTCCTCGTCCAAGAAACTCCTTCATTAATCATGTCAAAGGGCCAGGATAACAACTCATGTCCTTGTACTCCGCTGAGAGCTGAAATGTACCAGGGCAAAAGAAAAAAAAGGGTCCCTACAAGGGGGGGGGGGGGGGGCAGTTTGCAGAAGTTGCTAGAGAAAGTGTTGTATAGCAATAGCGTTGACATCTCCTTTCTTCACCAGAGTCTGATTTAGATGCAATGCTAGCAGAAGAGCTTACCTGTGACACACAGCATCCCTTTGTTTAAACTGGCCCTCTACCTGTGCAACGTCACTATATATACAAAATTAGACTAGTCTGTATTACTGTGTCAATATGTTATGGCTCTTTGGTATGCTAAAACTGCACATATACCAGCTGAGGACCCAGTTTGAACTAGGTGTTGGACATGTGTAGTGTTTCAAAGGCCAGTTCTTTTGGCCCATCAGCATAATGGCCAGGAAACTGGCCATTATCTATCATAGGATGACAGGATTCTAATCCTGTATTCTCCCGAGAAACAGAACTTACCTGTGTCTCATTGTAAACATTTACTACGTTAATAGGCCTGTGAGTGTCACAGACAAAGAAAACAATGTCCTCTTCAGGTTGAAGTACTTCCAGCAGGTCAATGTTGACACCACAGTTTATCAGAATAAAATACTGGAACTGCAAATGAAAAAAAAAGTCTATTGACAGATAAATAAGACTTAACTTTGCAAAATGCTATTTCATAGACAAACATTTGTTTCCTCTAAAGCTTCATCTTCCCAAAGCTATTACCAATCCCCAGCTGTTCATATTTCCTCAAAGAAAAATAAAGGTTGATTTCTGGGGTCCACAGAAATGAAATTATTCCTATTCTTATTCATAGCAGACAGGAAGCTACATCCAGATTAAATTAAACATCATGTGACAATCTAGACAAACACAACAAAAACTTACAGCTGCACACTAAAGGCCTTTAATTAAAATGGACGGCAGAAAATCAGGATGTACAACTGTAATTCTTTGACCATAAGTCTCAATGAACTTAGTGGGGTTTACATTTGTGTGAACATTTAATTGTATTAAGATCAGAATGGATATGGGATTTTTTACTTTTATCTTTTTACCTGATCTTTGTGCTCCAGAAATGCAGCTTCAAGTTCTTGCCAGCCAGACACTGGTACTAAAGTATATTGCACATGATCACACTGAAATAAAGCCTTAAAAAATAAAAATGAAATTTTAGAGGAAGGGAAAAAACAATCACTGTAAGTAACACAACATTGAATTTATGGCTTTTGCTAAACAGTACCTTCAGTACAACTTTAGACACCGAACATATTTTTTAAAAATCCGTGGCCCCGGTCACACGGAGCATTAGCCACGCTAGAGGGACGGAAGATAGGCTGATTTTCCGGGTGCGATCACACCGCCACATCTGGGAAGCTTAGAGCTCCCGTGGCTCACCCGAGGCTTCCTGCCGAAAATGCGGTTTAAAAAACTAGTACCTCTGAGGTACTAGTTTCCGGAAACCGCGGGGCAAGGGCGGGCGTCTGATCACGTTCCCGGTAGTAGTTCTGGCGCCCGCCCATGTCCCCTAGCAAAACGGGGGTTTTTTTCCAAGTCGCCACGGATGCGCACAAGCACCCAACGGAGCATACGCACACTTTAGTTTAAAAATAAACACACAACTTAGCTGCTCGGTAAGACTTGAGTCGTGCAGAGAAGAGGAGAGCAGCCAGAAGAAACGCAACACAGAGAGCACGGCTTGAGGCGAGAGAGAAACAGATAGGGGGAAATGGGGTAAGGCAGAAGATAAAGCGGCTGAGGTGAAGCCCAGAAGGGGGGGGGGCGCGGCGGCAGAGTAGGAAGTGTGCTTGGGGAAGGGGGGGCAAAGCCGGGAAGAGTTGACTAGACACACGGGCGGCACAAGGGCTCCTATAGAGACATGTGTGTGCGCAGAGGCTGCGGGATCGGAGCCCCAGCGCCCAGGGAGCCGAAGAGCCAGGAGGGCGGCACTCACCGTGGCCTCGAAGACAGGCGCTGGAGGAGGCAGTGGAGAAGGTGTGGTCAGGGTGGAGGGGGCTGAGCCATGCTGCTTTGCCCTCTTTGCGCGCCCCACCAGCCGGCTCCCCGGACTGCTGCCCTTACACAACTACTGCCCACCCCCTGCCTGCCTCACTGGTGGGGACAAAGCCGTGCCCGACGCGACACCGCACCGCCCAGTTGGCTGCTGGCCCCTCCTCTCCCCAGCACCGCTTGGCTGGCTTTCTCTGGCAGCCCCCCCTCGCCTTCCCTCGGCGCGTGGGCCCCGCTTCTTTGCCCTGCAGCGCCGCAGGATTGCGCTGTGATCGGCGCCTCCCCCTAACCACGGGACCTCCACGGGAGGTCTGATCATGCAATCGCGTGTTATTTTGCCCCGGGGCAAACAGCCACGCTCCCCCCCCTGCATTTTCCGGCCTGTGTGACCGGAGCCCGTGTTACTTAAAGGCAACGTTTCAAACAATCTAAAATTAGAGTTTAGTTCGGTGTAGTGGTTAAGTGCGCAGACTCTAATCTGGGAGAACCGGGTTTGATTCCCCATGCCTCCACTTGCAGCTGCTGGATGACCTTGAGCAAGCCATGGTTCTGCCAGAGCTGTTCTCTCAAGGACAGTTCTGGAAAGAGCTCTCTTAGCCCCACCTACCTCACAGGGTGTCTGTTGTGGGGAAGGGAAGGAGTTTGTAAGCCGCTCTGAGACTCCAGGTGAAGGGCGGGCTATAAATCCAATCTCCTCATTGTTTAATATTGGACCTATTTCCTCCCAATTATCTTATGTTTTCTGCAGTGGCAAAGGATCTCAAAGAATAGAAGACTGAAGTAGCAATCATGTTAGTCTGTGGCCACAAAAATAAAGAGGAGTTTTTTTGGCACCTTAAAAACTAACAAGCCTTTGTTCTTCCACAAGTTTTCATGGACTAGAGTCCATTCGGCAAGATGCGTGACTCACCTCATGCATCTAAGTGGACTAGTCCACAAATGCTTGTGTATCTATAAGGTATTGCAAGATGCCAGTTTTTTTAATTACTGCCTTGTACAGACACTGTTTTTTTTTTCATTGACCAGAGTTTCAATTTAACCACAAAGGAATTGTTTATCTCCTTTCTGTACAGTAAAAATGCATACAGATACAGTCACAGGTCTTGGACAATGTCATTAATATTTACTGTTCCTATTCTGACCACAGGTTCCAAGTGAACTGGAGTACAGTTAGAGACTGTTTGGTAGGTAGTATTTTGTTACCACAGAGGCAGTAGTCCAGAAGGTACACATTTCTGTCCAGGTAGAAGGCACAGCAATTATGGAAGTGGGGGAGGGGCAAAGTAATAGGGACACCTGATTGCTGCTGCTAATCAGTGCAGGCTTCCAAAGAAGTATTGAAATCCAAGGCTGCTGTCATATATGTGAATCTTAACTAGTACTTATTTATTTGATTTGTATCCCACCCTCCCCGCCAGGGCAGGCTTACATATAACATTAATAACCTTTGTTAACTAGTTTTGTAACTTACAAGGTTTATCTTACCTACATAAATAGACGTATTTAAAATTGAATGCTCTCCCATTGTAATTATAGATGTCGAAAAGCACATAATAAAAGGTTCAGATGTACAGAAAATTACATTTGCCCTCTTGATACTTTTAATATTTTCTCCCTCTTGCATACCACTATGACGTTATAAGAGTCTCACCTGGAGTATTTTACAAGCACATAATGCGTCTACATCTGAAGCAACCAGCAGCAGCACACGCTGAAAGAAGTACATTTTTAGTTATTAGTATATATAACAAGACTTGCAGCAATGCAGCTGGCAGTCACCCCAAGTTCAGGGTGACTGTCCATAATTTTGGATACACTTTTTAGCCTTTGCATCCAAAAAATAAGGAGTGAGTATTTTCCACTGCTCAAGATTTATTAATCAATGAGCTTCTAAGGAATAAAAGTAATTCCGGATACACTGAACATGGAAACACAAGGAAAGAATTAAACTATAAAAATGTTCACATGCAGGTAAAATCTAGACCCTTCAAATCCTTTTTTGGTATTTTTATAGATAATGCAACGATAACTCCTTAAACAATTCGATCAAGAACATTTTCAATTACAATTTCTTTAGAAGGCACAATGAAAGTATAAGTCACAGAGTCCTTATCAAGCTGTTTTCTATCTGTTTTCTATCGAAAAGGAAAAAAGATTGTAATAGCATGACGCTACAGAGAACATTTCATGACTAATATCCCTTGGAGGTAGGTTAGGCTCAGTGACTGGCCCAAAGGCAGCCAAGTGAGCTTTATGGCAAGCAGGGATTTGAACCTGGGTCTCTCATATCCCAGTCCTACATTCTAAATACTACACTACTCCATCATTCTCTGGTCAGCTGTTTTTACACAGTGTATCATGGCAGCATGGACTACACCACTTCAGATAGCAGGCAGAGGATAACATTGAGAGCCAGGGTGGTATTGTGGTTAGTGTCAGACTACAGTCTGAGAGAGCTAGGTTTGAATCCCTTCTCTGCCATAGAAGCTTACTGGGTGACCTTGGGCCAGTCACATACAGTCCAATTTCCCTCAAAGGGGTGTTGTGAAGATAAAATTGAGCAGGAAAGAACAAAGTAAGCTACTTTGGGTTCTCACTGGAAAGAACAGCAGGGCATAAATGAAGTAAACAATAAGAGCATTGGAGCTGATGATCTATAAAGTGTTCTTTGGCTGTGAAACTTTTAATAGTGTTTGGCATATCCTTGTATCTATTAATTGGGGTTACTGTGTCAGTATTATAGCAAAACCTCATTTAGACATCAATGACATTAACAAATACATCAAATAAATTTCAGAACATTTACCAGAGTTAAAACTTCCTGCAAATAGAAAACAGAGCCAAGACAGGTCGAGTATCATTCTTCCTTGCTATGCTAACTTCCTATTTGCAGGGGATGGGTGGCCTAATGAATGCAGCATCAGATTGAGACCTGAATTCAAATCCCCACTCAACTATGAAGCTTACTGAGTGACCTTCGGGGCAATCTCTCTCTCCTTCTCAGTTTTGTTATGATAAAAGAGGAGAACGATGAGCACCACCCTAAGCTCCTTGAAATGCAGGAGAAAAACCTATTAACTAAATCAAGCTGGGTAGCCGTGTTAGTCTGTCTGTAGCAACAGAAAAGTGTCCAATAGCACCTTAAGGACTAATAAAAATGGTGGTAGGAAGGAGCTTTCCTGATCTGAAGAAGCGAGCAATGACTCACGAAAGCTTATACCCTGCCACAAATTTTGTTAGTCTTTAAGGCTAGCAACCTTTAGATTCTTCCATGTTTTCCTGCGGAATGAGGGTTTGCTGTTTATAACTCCGGCTGCAAAAACTGCAAAGACAATAAATAAAATGGTGTTTAAAGTGCTATTGGACACTTTTCTACTACCCTGTTTCCCCGAAAATAAGACCTACCCAAAAAATAAGCCCTAGCAGGATTTCTATGCATTTGTGGTATAAGCCCTAGTGTGTCTTCTTGAGAAAAAATAAATATAAGACAGTGTCTTATTTTCGGGGAAACACAGTATTAAACAAAAAGGATTCCTGGGATCGTTTCAGGAAAACAGAGATTTTTTTTTAAGGAAAACAGAGGTTTTTATTTTAAAAAACCTTTCAACATACAAACTAAGAAAGCATTTTCAACATTCACAAAACAAAGCATAAAATACAAAACAAATAACCAATTAGAAATCCAACATCAACATCTTAAAAAGGTAAAGGTTCCCTTGCTCGAAAGCCAGTCGAATCCGACTCTAGGGTTGCGGTGCTCATCTCCGTTTCAAAGCCGAAGAGCCAGCGCTGTCCGAAGACGTTTCCGTGGTCATGTGGCCGGCATGACTAAACACCAAGGCGCACGGAACGCTGTTACCTTCCCACCGAAGTGGTACCTATTTATCTACTTGCAATTTCTTCCTTTCGAACTGCTAGGTTGGCAGGAATCAACATCTCACGACGCACCAATTTAGATGAAGCAGCGCCCCCTCCCTACTCTGAAGCGGCACAGCCCACCCCGCCATGTTCCTTGGCTGACTGTGCGAGCCGAGTAGCCCAGCCGGAGGGAGCGGGAGGAAAGCGGGCCTTTCTGCGCCTGATGCTTCCCCCTCTCCCGACAAGAGCCGCAGCCAGGAAGCAGGGCGCCCCCCCCCCTCCCGCGAACCCGTCACTCGGCTTCCCCACCCCGGCGGAATCTGGCCCCTCACCTGGTTCAGAACCACCTCATAGAACTCCTTACGGAAGTCGGACAGAAACATGACCGGAGACCGACTCCGCTGAAAGGGAAGACGACAATGGCGGCAGATGCGGAGACGATACTACAATTCGTGCCTCAAAGGAAGGCGCCAAATCTCTCGTTTCTCTCATTGGTCAAGACGCTGTCGGTATTGTCCAATGGCGTTTTCACGATCTGTCCAGGGGGCATGCCCCCCTCTTACGTGTTGATTGGGTAAATCTTACGGCCACGTCCAAGCTTCTCCACCAATCGTCATTAGCCGTGCCGGTGCCTGCGTCGGATCGATAGATGAGAACAAAGCAAGGGACCCATAGAGATAAGGGAACAAGACGTTCCCTTTCCATATTGCGGGCTGTCGAATCTTCCATGTGCGGGGCTCCAGTGGTGGAAACGCATAGGAATTAATGTGCAGAAACGAATAAAGTGTCAGATATTATTTTAGACCAGAACTGCTAATAAAAATAGGAAAAAGCTGCAATCTTGTACCGGAACTCTCGGTCTACCGTTCCACTCTTGCAACATTTAGACGGCTTTCATCATAGAGATGTCAAAGCCTAGAGTAACAGTCACAGAGACCCATCGCTTTCAATTTTTACCAGCCGTTTATGACCGTACATTTGTTTCCCGATCTCTAATACCTAACCTCTATTACACACGGAAGTGGAAGTCATTTTATTCCCACATGCTGCATTCTGGGAAATGTAGTTTTTTGATGGAACTTGCAAAATCTACCACATTTACACTTTTTAAAAAATCAATACTGTTCCAGATATATTGCAGAGATACCCCCAGATTCTGAGCTGGCGATGCTAGCCTTAAAAATAAAATTGAGGGTCAGCAGTAAGTGCCCCCGAGAGGGGCCAGGCTGAGGAACGCCTCCTGCCCCGGGTTCTATTTCCCTTAGTGACAACAACGAGGCTGCCAGTCGGTGCCCGGAGAGAGAAGTTGGTGTGTTTGTTTCGCTAGCCTCTTCCCGGGGGCTGAGTGGGGCTGCTTTGGGGGCGGCCGGCCAGAATCGGAGGAGAGGAGGAAGAATCCCGCGCAATCATGGTAAAGGCCTCTTGTGCCTTCGGGGGGGAAGGACGGAGGGTTAACAAAGGGGAAAATGCAGCGTCATCCCGGTTCCGAGGGGAGCTGTAGCTAAGGGCAGGGAGGAAGAGGATGGTGCTTGCCCCAAAGTTAAGAGCGGACCCGACTTTTAAACTGGTTCGCCGTAGTTGTTCCTTTTAACTGAATAGTTCGCTGCTTTTCAGTAGGGATGCCAGCCTCCAGGTGGGACCTGGGGATCCCCTGGAAGTACAGCTCCTCTCCAGACGACAGAGATCAGCTCCCCTGGAGAAAATGGCTGCTTTGGAGGGGGGGCTCTGTGGCATGGGGCCCCACTGAGGTCTCCGTCCTCCCCAGGCTCCATCCCCAAATCCTCAGGAGTTTCCCGGTCTGGATCTAGCAAACACCCCCCCCCCCGCAATTCCCTGCTGGTGGCCAGGGGGAACCTGGCAACCCTAGCTTTGGTGTAGTCAAGAGAAGGGGTCGTGGTTAATTCCATCCCATGGAGATGTTTCCTCTGCTGATTTTTGTCACTCTCCTTTTCCCAAGGAGCTCAGTCAGAGCAGCACGCATGGGTCTCCCTTCCCCCGTTTTATCTTCACAACAATCCTGCGAGGTCGTTCAGGACGTATAGCAGTTTTAGTCTGGCAGCATAGGGTTGCTATCTGTGGGTTGGAGCTTTCCGGGAGGTTTGGGGGTGGAGCCTGGGGAGGGTAGGACGTCTGTGAGGTGTAGTGCCATGCAGTCTGTATTCCAAAGCAGCCATTTTCTTCTCGGTAGCCTGGAAATCAGCTGTGATTCTATGGGATTTCCAGGCCCCATTCCGGATTGGGAAATACCTTGAGGTTTGGGGGGTGGAGTCTAAGGAGGGCGGGATTTGGGGAAAGTTGGGACTTTAACAAAGTATAGTGCCATAGAGTCCACCTTCCGAAGTAATTTCTGTCACCTAGCAGATCAGTTGTACTCCCAGGAGAACTCCAGCCACCACCTGGAGGTTGGCAACCCTAGCAAAATAGAAAGATCTTTACTGTGAGGTGGGTAAAGGAGAATGACTGGCCCAAGGTCTCTCAGTAAGCATCCATGGTAAACTGGGGGCTTGCAACTGAGTCTCTCAGATCTAAGTCTGACATATTAGCTATGATGCCATGCTGGCTGGTTATCACTTTTTAATGCCATCTCCCCCCCCCCCAGCTGAGGATTAGGGTAAACAAAGTTTTAACTGTTATTAGCCTTCCTTCCTGATTTTGGTGTTATGTGTGTTCTTTATATGATATTATCGAATTATTGTATATATGGTGGTGGTGGAAAGTGCCATCAAGTCACAGCTGACTTATGGCAGTCCTGTAGGGTGTTCAAGGCAAGAGATGACCAGACTTGATTTGGCATTGGCTGCCTCTTGGTTTCCCATCCATACTAACCATTGCTGACCCTGCTTAGCTTCCAAGATCCAATGAGATTGGGCTAGCCTGGGCCATCCCGGTCAAGGCATTATACTTTAAACAAGAAGCGGTGAGCCAATGGTCCCTCTAAGCTGTGGAGTCTTGTGAGCAAAAATTCTACTTTGTGAGCTACTGGCATTAAAGTTGTGAGCGAGCGATATGGCTACTGCATAAATTAGCTTGCTCTGGAGTTATCCTTCCTGAGCTAAGACAAAAAATGTGTGAGCCGGAGGCGAAAAAACTGTGAGCTAGCTCACACTAACTCAGCTTAGAGGGAACACTGGCGGTGACCTGCGATACTCGCGGGGGGGGGAGCTCCATGCAGAGGAGGAAGCTGCCTCAGGTAAGCCTTTTCCACTGGCCCTACCTGGCCCCGACGGCAAGGGCAATGCAGCTCCAAGCCGCCGGGCCTGCCAAACGTCCCCCGCCCCTGCCTGGCCCCAAAGGCCAACTAAACTCCCCCTGGCAACGGTGGCGAGGCCCATGCGACTTCGAGTCGCTGGGCCCGCCAAATCTCCCCCTCCCCCAAGCCTTCTCCCTCCCCTCTCCCCTAGTAAGCTGCCCTGAGCCCGCTTGCGGGGAGGGCGGGGTAAAAATGCCGAAATAAATATAAATAAATAAATCGTGGCGGCAAGGCCTGGCCGGCCTGCCAAGCTTTCCCCCCCCACGGTGGATGTGGTGGCGAGGGTTGAGTGGCTCACAGCCGTCGGCCCGCCAAGCCTTTGACGTCCCCCCCAAGCAGCGGCGCCACGGCAGTTCTCAGAGCATTCCCTTTTACTTTTGGGGGGATTTAAATATCCCCGTGTACTTTTTTCTACTTTTTAGATTTTTCTGCACACCTGGAGACTATTCTAAGTGTGCAGGCAAATCTCCCTGCCCTCCAGGTGCCCCCGATGTGCAGATTTAGATATCCGCACGGAGGGGGCAACTTGGCTATTAGATATATAGATGTTTTCTTAATGTCGAAAAGTGTTGATGTTTGCTGACCGTATTTGGGTAGAAAGGCAGCACAGAAATGTTTTAAATAAAAATAAATAAATATCTGTACAAAACCCGGGAGGTAGTTTGGGCTGAAAGATCGTTAGTAGCCCAAGAAGGGACCAGGTTGTTTTTTTGGTAGATATATTTCAGTGGTCCTTCAGATCCATTATTTTGGACAGTGCTCCAAAGATGATGTACACAGAGTCATTCTCACCCCTCTTTCGTCCTCACAAGACCTCTGCAAGCTAGGTTAGTCTGAGAGAGATAATGGCTATGCCAAAGTCACAGCATAAGCTTCATGGACGAGTGGGGTTTTTTTTTTAGATAAACTTTTTATTCAGAAGAAAGTAGAATACAAAGCTTTACAAGTTCCTCTTCAGTTCTATAACCAAATCATATGGATGTTGAGTTCTGTTCACTATCCTAGTTAGAATATCATTCCATTAATCAAACTTCTCTAACTATCCACCATGCCGTTTACAGATTAGTTTACTCAACTGCATGCATTCCTTTAGTTTCTCCAACCACTCAGCTTTATTTGAAGTTACCTTTCCTTTCCAGTATCTAGCAGAAACTAATCTTGCAGAGAACAAAATTTGAGCTCAGTGGCGCCTTTAAGACCCACAAAGTTTTATTCTGGTCTCCAAGGTGCCACTGGACTCAAACTTTGTTCTGCTGCTTCAGACCAACACAGCTACCCACCTGAATCTCATCCTGCAGAGGTTATGGCATTTAAAACAAATTATTTAGTATCTTTGGGGAGAAACGTCTACATAATTCAATAGGATTTAGGGGAGAAAGGTAAATCTTTACCTGCTCCTTGCAAAATAGTTCTGGCCATCATTTCCCAGTATTTTTCAGCTCTACTACGTCTCCCCCACATATGTATAAAGTTTGCGTCAAAAGCTCCACAAAACCAACAGTCAACCTGGGGATTTTAAACTATCCAAAGTCTAGCAATATAGCCACTACACTGCACTCAGGTTTTATCTGGAACATTTGATGGTGCTTAGAAATATAATATCCCCACTCTGCCATGAAGACCAGTGGGAGATCTTGGGCTAATTATTCTCTAACCATCCAGCCTACCTCACAGGGTTGTTGTGAAGATGAAATTGTGAAGGGTACTATGTTTGCTGCCCTGAACTCCAGAGAAAGGGTGGGATTAAAATTATCAGTAAGTCCTATTTTTCTGGCCTTCTGTACTTGGAAACTGCTCCTGTGGCATCTGATGGAAGAATAAGTTCACAGGCCAGCTGCTGGCTCATCATGAATCTTATCCAAATTGTGATTTATGTGAAAATGATTGGTGTAAGCTGGAAAACAGCTTTTGTCTGCTTTCGAAGGACACCAAGGACATCTTGAGCCTCCTCTTCTAACGTACTCTCGTCTTCTCCTCCCCCTCTCCAGTTTTCTTTTAATATGTTTGATCATCCGATCCCCCGGGTTTTCCAGAACCGCTTCTCGACTCAGTACCGCTGCTTCTCGGTGTCCATGCTCGCGGGACCTAATGACAGGTCAGATGTGGAGAAAGGCGGGAAGAGTATGTGCTGTTTTATTTTGAATAATACTCTCTTGGAAGCAAAACCGTGGTGGGTGATGCTGGGTGGTGTTTGAAACAAACACAGCGTACGATCCTAGAACACTTCTGGTGCAAAGCTTACTCAGCACAGAAGAAACTTACCGATTTAGCTCTTTGAGGACTGACAGTGTAATCCTGAGCAGAGTTGGCAATCATTATAGCCAGTGGCCTCAGAAGGGCCTATCTCTGTTTAGGATTGCCCTGGGAGCTATTTGTTGTTCTTATTGTGTAGTAAGAGGGATTCTCAGCAGTTCAGATGCAGTTTAAGTGAGTGACTTTATTTTGGCTCCCTTTCCATCACTTCTTCCAGCCTCGTGATGGGAGTTTAAAAGGGAAAAACAATATGACTTTAGGCTGTGTGTGAGTCTGATAAGGGAAATATATGAATGAGCAGCAACAGCTTGGCTTGGAATGGGGGCCGAGGGCATTTGAAGGTCTGAGAATGGAAGAAGCTGCCACGGAGGGCGCTCCAGAGAGGCACGGGGTAAAAACAGACACATCGTTTTAGGAGTCAGCTGAGGAGATTTGGTAGCCCCTCTGCTGCTCTGTAAATATACACAAATATTTCTCTCCTGTCAGGGAGGGGGAGAAACCTTCTCTGCAGGCCTTCAGAGTGATTCAGCATAAATGGGAGAGGCACCTATTGGCTAGTGGTTGTGACATCACCTAACTTACCATCTCTCCACCCTCCATCCCTTTGCGACTTTAAAAAAAAAATGTCTATGGTAATTCTGTGGGGAAGGGGAACGAATAAATGCATATGTGCCGGCTTAAAAAAGAGGAAGAAGTGATCTACCTGTCGCATTGGGAAAAGTGACCGACTGTCAGAACCGAGTGTTCAGCTTGTGGTACATATGTTTGTAATGGAATCTGCGAAGCTGAGCTTGTGCCACAGGTGAAGAGCTCGCTGTGTCTGCTCTTACTACCTTGTGTTTGACTTCCATCTGCAGTCACATGATGCCTTTTAAAAATACGTTCTGGCACACTGACTCCATGGTCCTCTGTGCTGCTGGTCGTAGGGCCATCTGTGTGAAATAGTCAGCGTCTTGTCTTCCAGATTGCCATATTCTTCACTGTGTGTGTGACCCCTTCGCACTAGGCTCCACCCATTAGACACGTTTGCTGTGGAACCTGTTTTATGTCTTGGCAGCAGCATGTCGAATCACCTCTGTAACGTGTAGTATAGCTTACCTCATGTTCTAAGTTTATCATGTGGTGTACTTTCCCATCATTGCTCAGCATATAATGATATCATGACACTGCATATGTTTCAGTAAACATTACAGAGAGGGGAACCTTGGCGTGGAGATGCCATTTTTGATGGCAACCCTGTGCTTTTTATATGGCTAAGTTCAGCTCAAAGCACCTTGATGTTTGTCTGTCTGAAGACTATGACATTAGTGTTATACCTAGTCTTACTGTAACTATCTTATTTCCTTCTGCAGTAATCATGCCACCTTCTGCTTTGGATCAACTCAGTGAGTAATTTATTCGTTATTTTTATTTATTTGTTTATACCCCGCCTTTCTATCCAATAGGGAGCCAAAGCAGCTCACATCGTTCTCCTCATCTTTATTTTATTGTCATAACAACCATGTGAGGTAGGCTAGGCTGAGAGTGCATGACCAGACCAAGCTCACCCAGGCAAGCTTCCTTGGCAGAGCGGAGATTCAAACCAGGGTTTCTCAGCAACTAGTCTGACCCTCTAACTGCTATACTAAATTTCTAATTTAGTAGACATCACAAACCAACTGTGTTTTCCTTGATCTACTCGTGTATAATAAGCTAGGCAACCATCTGTGAATATGCTAGTTTTCATACTGGCGAGTAGAACAGCATCCCTCCTAGTTTCCTTATTGCTGTGGCTTTCATAGAGGAAGTTAATTTGGCAGTATTGTCAACTCTGCTAATTTATTTTGGTAGTTGGCATCTTTTTTAAAAAACCTTTGAAATTACCCAAATTGCATTTGAAATAGACAGTGCAATCCTGTGCAGTCTAAGTTCATTGAACTCTTTCATAGTATCTCAGGCGAGCTATGAATCGATGTGTCCCAGGTTTGCTCTTTTCTGTTGCTACAGACAGACTAACACAGTTACCCATCTTGATCTAAGCTACGAGATAAATGTTTATCCTGACTGGGCACATACCAACTCCATATGCTCTAGAGCAAAGTTTGAGTCCAGTGGCACCTTTAAAACCTACAAAGTTTTATTCTAGGTATAATCTTTCATGTCCATGCACACTTCTTCAGATCTGAGGAACTGTGCTTGCACACAAAAGCTTATACCTTGAATAAAACTTTGTTGGTCTCAAAGGTGCCACTGGACTCAGACTTTGTTCTGCTGCTTCAGACCAACTCAGCTACCCACCTGAATCTATCCACATGTCCTAGTTTGTTAAAACAGCAAGAAAACAATAAGAATGTGGGATTTTTCTTGTATCTTAAACACAAATCAATTGTATTTATTTCCTCCCCTACTTTCCTTATTTGAGGACCAGTGGAAAAGCACTCGACGGCTTAATGTCATATTACGCAAGTGATGTTGCTGTACAGTAGACCTGTTTCTATGTTTGAGCCCCAGGTCTGCCTGGCCTAGCTCTCAAGGGGTCTGTGTGTTCTGCTTTCTTATCAGCAGCCTGATTAAGTGCCCACCCAGTAGGGCTAACTCCTAAGTAAACAAGCACCGGATCACAGCCTCAGACCCTTTTCTTGAAGCTTTCAGAAATAATCTTTCCCCCCCCTTTTCTGTTTTCACTTAGGCCGGCTTAATATCACCTATCCTATGCTGTTTAAACTGACTAATAAAAACTCAGACCGAATGACCCACTGTGGCGTGCTTGAATTTGTGGCCGATGAGGGCATTTGTTACCTTCCGCACTGGGTAAGTGGGTCCTTTTAAAAACCATGGGGTGCACACAGTCCACATAAGCATGGGAAGCTGTCTTATGCTGGATCTGTTCATTGGGAGCTCTCCAAGACCTCATCCAGGGAGTCTTTCCAAGCCCTGATTCTTGAGATCTTTTTTTTTTTTAAACTAGAGACACCAAGAATTGAACCCAGGACCTTCTGCATACCAAACATACCCTGTAAACCGCCCAGGGACCCTTCAGGGTTAGGGCGGTATAGTAAGTCGAAACAATAAATAAATAAACATATGAACATAAGGGAGGCCAATGTTGGATCAGGCCAATGGCCCATTCAGTCCAACACTCTGTCACACAGTGGCCAAAAATACCAGGTGCCATCAGGAGGTCCAGCAGTGGGGCCAGGACACTAGAAGCCCTCCCATTGTTGCCCCCCCCCAAGCACGAAGAAGACAGAGCATCACTTGCCCCAGATTGAGAGTTCCTATCTATACCTTGTGGCTAATAGCCACCGATGGACCTCTGCTCCATATGCTTATCCAATTCCCTCTTGAAGCCATCCATGCTTGTAAACAATGCTCCCTCTAAGCTGTGGAGTCTTGTGAGCAAAAATTCCACTTTGTGAGCTACCGGCATTAAAGTTGTGAGCGAGCGATTTGGCTATTGCATAAATTAGTTTGCTCTGGAGCCATCCTTCCTGAGCAAAGACAACCATGTGTGAGCCAGAGGCTAAAAAACTGTGAGCTAGCTCACACTAACTCAGCTTAGAGGGAACACTGCTTGTAGCCGCCACCACCTCCTGTGGCAGTGAATTCCATGTGTTAATCACTCTTTGGGTGAAGAAGTGCTTCCTTTTATCTGTTCCTAACCCGACTGCTCAGCAATTTCATGGAGTGCCCATGAGTTCTTTGCCACTCAGCTGTGGTCTCTGCAAAGGCTATGTTGGGAGGGCATTTTTATAAAGTGTGGTGGCAGTGGTGGAAAATGCCATCATCGCAGTCGACCTATGGCAACCCTGACCCTGTAGGGTTTTCAAAGCAAGAGACACTCAGAAGTAGTTTGCCATTGGTCTGCCTCTGCATAACAACCCCGGACTACCTTGGTGGCCTCCCATCCAAATACTGACCAGGGCTGACCCTGCTCAGCTTCTGAGATGGGCTGTAATTTAAGGCACTGTTTGTATGCATTATCTTATTCTTTATCGTTTTTAAAAAAATTCTGTCATCCGGTTTTTGCATTTCTTATCTGTCTTGTCTTGTACCGTTTTAGTACTGTACTGTTTAGGCAGACTATAAATAAAGTAAATATATGACTATTTAAAATACGTTGCTTAAGGCGAACTGGATGCCTCCTTTTTTGTCTTCTCGTGGAACTTCGGGATACGCAGGGAGTGTTTGAGCAAAATTTTCACAAAGTCCATTTCAAGGACGTGTTTCAGCTTGGTTCAGATTAAGCATCCCTAAAGAAGCACTTCCTTGTTTCTTTCTTTTTAAAAAAACAGATGATGCAGAACTTGCTACTGGAGGAAGGAGGCCTGGTGCAGGTGGAGAGTGTTAACCTCCAGGTGGCGACTTACTCAAAGTTTCAACCGCAAAGTCCCGATTTCCTTGACATCACCAACCCTAAAGCAGTGTATCCTTTTTTTGTTCTGTCTTAGGAGAGGCACAGAAGTGGTTTGAGTTGTGACCGTTGTTTTTATTTCTTACACCATTGTGAGGAAAGAAGTAGAATCAGCTTTTCCATCAGTGTTTGTAGACTTTAAGAGGAAACCACCAAAAAGCATTTATATTTTCATTGGGGGAGCATTGTAAGGACTAATTCACAAGGTAATTTAGTGATGTTGCTTTGTTGGCTTCAGTGGGAGTGCACACTAAGGAATGTGGTTTGGTTTCCCTTCCAAGCACATTAACAATAATAATAATAATCTGGAGACAAACCAGGAACTGCCTCCAAAGCAGAATCAGAAACAGTACTATAAAGTGGGTTAGCAAACTGTAGCTTGGAGGCAATTCCTAGTTGGCTGTAACCGTAGTTTTCTCATTTTGACTATTGCAATAAGTTAGTAGGTTAGTGCAAAGCAGGCAGTGGGAGGAGGTTGACCCATAAGGTGAGGAGGAAGGATGTGTGAGCCGATGGCACAATCCTGATCCTCCAAATCTGGTTTGCTGGATCACTTAACATGGCCTTGGCATTTTAGCTGGGTTCAGCTTTAGAACTTGGACATACAATTTTGAGTTTTAGCCAGAGGGTAGAAATCTCTGTAATGGAGATTTTCAAAGACTTCACTGTTTCCCTAAGACTGTAAGGGTTGCTCTTGTTCCATAGGCTCCTCCTCCTCAGTGATGAAAGCACACCTGATTGGTTACTTTCTCCCCAGTATGAGTTCTTGTGTGCTTCTAATCGATGCTTTGGGAATTGCAGTGAATTTCTGCTATAGTTGGCACAAAGCTGCTCAGCTGGCTGATCCACAGTAACAACTCAAAGCTGGCCTAGCAAAATTACACCAACTAGCTTGATTTCTGAAACTGGCAATTCTGCAAATTCTGCGAAAGCCATGCTCCAGTGCAATATCAGCTTCTTGGAAGTCTACCAAAGCACTGAGGAATTCAGAGCCCTAATAGCTCTGAAACGGAATATTACAACATTTAAGGCTAAGTAAATTTGATTAAACCATATTTCTGCGTTTTAAGTACATACTTAAGAGAACATTTATTTTTGAACAACCTCATGTTCTTATCCATGTTTCATTCCTTCCCTTCAACATAAGCCCTTGCAGTTTCAATTCTCCAATGAAAAAATACAATTTTTGGAGAGAGATTTTTACACTGCCAGCCACTGTTCGTACCTCCATAGAGCACACAAGAAAGATAAGAGTCGAATAAGCAGAAAAGCCTGAGTAAGAAGACAAAAGGAGAGAAGGAAAAGTAAAGTGATTGAAATAAACATGTAAAGAAACTGTTTTGCCTATTATTAGTAATTGCTTTGTCTTAGTGGGGGTTGTTATGCAGCTGTCCAAGACATAGTATAGAATCCTGGCTGAACAATTGCGTAAGCGTGGCTTTGATCCAGCTGTGACCTCTCTGCGCTGAATACAGTCTCATTCCAACTTAACATCCTCTCAAGATTGGAAAATGCTCTGAGAAATTTTGCTTGCCTGACCACCGGAGATGTCATCGCCATCAACTACAACGAGAAGGTGATGTCTGTCGTTTTAAAAGCATGCGGCATTGAAATCTGTGCACCAGGGAGGGGGTCGTTAGCAATTTTGATTTGAGAATCAGTTCCTCGTGTGCCTGTGATTAATTCTAAAAAGTGATTTAAAGCTACCTGATGGGTGTTGCAGGAGGGGCTGTCAGGGATCAAGCTGACTGAACCATTATCAGTTTTAATTGAAGAGTCTGAGGCGGGGAGTGTGCATGAAAATCACATGTAAGCATTCTAAGGTTTGCAACAACGGCTCTAGAAATACTGATTGGCGCCTGCTCTTTCAGATCTACGAGCTTCGAGTAATGGAGACCAAACCTGACAAAGCTGTGTCCATCATAGAGTGTGACATGAACGTAAGTCCGAGGCTGCCATGGCAGAGTGGCAGTTTGAGCCCGGGGTCTTAGTCCAACACTCTGACCGCTAAAACTGCATTGGCTGGGCCTGAAATGCTCAGAGAGCACTAAAGGGAGGAGGCAGATTCTGGGCTATGATGTGTCAGGTCATCTGATTATATTAAACTTCACTTACAACAGGTAGATTTTGATGCACCGTTGGGTTACAAGGAACCAGAAAGACAGGCGCACCATGAAGAAGCCACTGTGAGTTACCTTCTGACTTTTTCTCTGCTGTTTGCATTTTGGGGCACCACTGTCCTTCTACACACACACACACACACACACACGTGCGCGCACCCCCCTTTCTTAAAAAAAAAAAAAGACTGTTGAAAAGAAGCAATAGATGCTTTTGACAGATAAGAACATCAGGTCCCTGCTGGCTGAAACCAAAGGACCCTCTATCTCAGCAGTCTGTTTCTCACAGTGGTCAGACAGAGGCTCCTCAAAAACTTACAAGTGGGGCACAGAGGCCAAAGCTGGGGAGGGACTATGTCTCAGTGGTAGAGCTTAGCGTGCAGACGTTTTCAAGTTTAGTCCCCAGGATCTCCAGTTAAGGATCAGGTGGTAGGTGATGTGAAAGACCCTGACCTGAGACCCTGGAGAGCTGCTGCCAGTCTTGAGAAAACAATACAGACCTTGATGGACCAGTGGTCTGATTCAGTATGAGGTAACTTCTTTGTGTGTGGTCCTTCCCCCAGCCGCCTGTATCCAGCAGTATACCACTTCTGAACAGAGAGGTTTCATTTAACTATCCTCTCAGATAGAAACTGATAACACTTGCCTTCCTTGAACAGGCAAATTACGTGATCACTGCAGGTCACGAACTTCATTGAGCTACCCATGCCACTTTCTTAGCTTCCTAAGGCTGCAGTCCTACACGCAGTTGTCTTGGAATAAACCCTGTAAGTAGGGCTTGTTTCTGAGGAAACATGCAGAGGATTGCTGCATTTTGAGAGCCAGTTTGGTGTGGTGGTTAGGAGCGCAGACTCTAATCTGGGAGAACCGGATTTGATTCCCCACTCCTCTACATGCAGCTGCTGGTCTGACCTTGGGTCAGTCACAGGTTCTTTCAGAGCTGGTCTCTCAAGAGGAGTTCTCGAAAGAGCTCTCTCAGCCTCACCTACCTCACAGGGTGTCTGCTGTGGGGAGGGGAAGGGGAAGGAGATTGTAAGCTGCTCTGAGACTCCGAGTGAAGGGCAGGGTATAAATTCAATCCCTTTCTTCTTCGTCGTCTTCAAAAACATTACAATGTAAAAAAAAATACCCCTGGAAATGTATTTATTTATTTATTTTATTTTATTTGTTAAATTTATATCCCACACCTCCCCGCTGAACATGTAAATGTTCTCACTGATTGCATATTGCAGTGACATCATTCTAAAACAAAGGCATTTATTTCTCCTTCTGTTGTACAGGATGTTGAAGCGGACCACACTGGTTACGCGAGTGACCGGGGATTCCGTGTAAGTCCCTTGTGTGACTGATTATAGACAACTCACGGGAATTTGGGGCAATCTCCCTTTTCTTGGTGGAACCTGGAGAGTCAGCATGGTGTTGTGGTTAAGAGTGGTGGATTCTAATCTGGGGCCCTGGGTTTGATTCCCCACTTCTCTCCCACATGAAGCCTGCTGGGTGACCTTGGGCCAGCCACAGTTCTCTCAGAACTCTCTCAGCCCCACCTGTTGTGGGGTGCCTGTCGCGGGGAGAGGAAGGGAAGGCGATTGTAAGCTACTGCGAGACTCCTTAAGGTAGAGAGAAGCGAGATATAAAAACCAACTCTTTTTTGGTTTTTTAAATTTTTTCATATGTGCGTGTGTCTGGTTGAGTATGTATGCACCTGGAAGTCATGGGAACTTCTGGTGACTGACCCCTACTGGCGGCCTGATGGATATTCAGAGGGGTGGCTGAATAGGGCCTGCCCCTGCCTCCTGCCTCTGGTATTTCAAGGAGGTCTCCCATCCAAGTACTTATTAGAGTCAACCCTGCTTAGCTTCCGAGATCTGATGAGATTGGGCTTGCCTGGGCTATCCAGGTCAGGGCAAAACCCAACTCTTCTTCGTCTGGAAAATTCCTCTGCTGGTGTGCCTTGATACAACTACAGACGATGGAATGGATCCCTTTGGGTGGGGGGGGACATAAGATGTCACTTGGTGCTAAGCAGGATATGAGCAGTTCTGATATTTTTCACTGGGTATAGATCAGTTACATGGAGATTGGGGGGGAAAGAAAATATAGGCGAGATATGGAAGCCAGCAAAATATATAGACAATCCAGAGCAAGCGTACCGTAGGCAAAGAGAGCCAGAACAGCGTGAAGCGGCCTCATCCTGCAAACGAGTGATCCATTTTCTTATGTGTTAAAAAAAATAAATAGCAGTTTAACTGAAGGGGAGTAAGACGGATTGCAAAGCACACAAAGGCTGCCCTCTTACGTGCTCCTACTTGGAAGCAAGACCTATCAAGCTTATTAGGACTTTCTTCCAAATTAACGTGTTTAGGATTGGGTGATGCCAATCCAGTCATCAGAAGTGATCTAAATCTTGAATTTGTCATTTTAACTCCTTAAAAATATTTGGCATTTCCTGCATCTAGGAAGGGGAGAGACTTGCTATGATCTTCAATGGGATGTAGATGTCCCTCTTGGTGTATTCTATGCTGTCCGTGTAACAGGGACTATGACTATATATCATGATTCCAGATGATTTCTGTTCTTCTTGTAGGCATTTTCAGGATCTGGCAATAGGCTGGATGGGAAAAAGAAAGGTGTTGAGCCGAGTCCTTCTCCAATTAAGCCTGAAGATATTCGAAGGTCAGTTTGTCTTGCAAATATTCACACTCAGCAAAACATCTCAAATTATCTTGCTCAGCCACCGTGGTGTTTACAGCCAGTGAGTGATGAACTCACACTAAGCTTCAGTAGCATAGCTGCTGGTGTCTTCAGATCCCTGTCTCTTTAGAAGTCCTCCTGCATTCTCAGATCTACCTTACACCTGAGCTCTTCCACCCCAAACCTGATGGTTAATTCATTGTTAAAAGGCACTAAGCGTAGATTTAACAGACTTCTGTTCTCATTTAATTTTAAGCAGCCTATCTTTTTTAAAAAACCAACTATTAAAATCATATTTTTAACATTTAAATCTTTTTAAAAAAATTTAAAAATTCAAATGTTAACTTTCTTCTTTTAACCAATGGTTTTTATCCACACTGAAGACAAGAACAGGGGATAGGGTGCAAATTCAGATTTGGGTCCAGCCATCTGTACATGATCATGTATGATTTCTTTAGTCCCAGAATATTGCACCATTACATATAAACCATCAGCACATGTACAGCAGGGATATCCCGTGCATGTGTCATAAACAGAAATATGAGCAGACAGCTAACTCTTTTGGGGAGGCCTGGTCCAGTTTAGGTTTGGTATTACGCCAAGAGAGACACTGAGCAAGTTCTTCATTGAAAATAATAATGCTTAGCCTTCATACACCTCTGTAAACATTCAAAGTGCTTGACATCCATTGTCTTCTTGTAATCCTTACAACAATCCTGTGAGTTGTGTATGTGTGTAAAGTGCTGTCAAAGTGTCTAAGCAGAGGTGATTTGCCATTGCCTGCCTCTACGAAGTCATCCTTGGTGGTCTCCCGTCCAAGTACCGATCCAGCTTAGCTTCTGAGGTCTGACCAGATTGGGCCACAGTAAACCATTTCACATCCTGTCCTGTGAGTTAGGCTGGTCTTATTCTATCCCTGTACTGTAGGTGGAGGTGCTAAGTGTGAGAGTCATGTCAAAGATCACTAGTGACTTTTAGCAGAGGCAGAATTTGAGCTTGGCACTTCTTGGATTGCCTCTTTTCCTGCCAGTTTCTGCAGTGACACCCAGTTCAGATTCCAGCCATTCTTCATGCTTGAAGAGCTCCCGGCATGGCATTCTGTTGTAGCAAATAAAGTGTTGCATAAATCGCATTGGTTTTGAACAGGGCTTCTGCAAGAGAAACTCTTTAAAGAATCATCTTGAGAATATTTTGTGAGCCATAACATCCTGCATGGGAAGAATTGGCTCATTTGAACATCTGAAAATCACCTCACCTCCACCCCATACAGCTTGCTAGTTCAGAATGTGGCAGGTACAGCAGAATCCATTCCTGGCAGAATCCCCCTTTTATGACACTTTTAAAGGTATGGAAGCCCTGTCAGAGTCTGGACTTAACAACCCAATGCCCTTTATGTTCCCTGTTCCAGAATCCTGCCTTTCCAATCCTCTCTTATTTCTTCTGTTTTTCTTGTGTCTCAATGTCCCATGTGAGGCTTTGGCCTAGCTCACTTTTCTTCATGTCCTTCTCCTATCCTCAGGTTTTTGTTTTTCATCCCACAGCCTGCTTTGTCTCGTTTTCTCTTGCTACCCTGGCAGGCCTCTTGAGCGCTCCTGTCTTCTTCCCTGTTGCCCTCCTGACCTTAAATCCTATGAGATTTCTTCCAATCTTCCTCTTTCTCTTTCCTTCATTCACCTATTTCTCAGGTTCTTGTTCTCAAATCACCATCCGGAACCTTCCTTCAACCCCATCTCCCAATCCCGTACTCCTATGCTTTTCTACCTGCTAGGACTCCTCCCAGTCCTTCATCTGCTCCAAAAGGTTATTCCTGTCCCTTGTGCTTTAACCCCAGCCAAGATGACAGCCATCCTATCCTTCACAGATGTTGGGCTGCAAAGAGCTTTCACAGCTTTGTTGCCTGAGTATTTGGACTGTCCGGAAACAACTTTCCATGCTGTCACGGCAGGTCAGCCGATCAGTTCCAGAGGCTTCCCCACTAAAAGCTCAATACAATATGGATTCTGCAGCTGAATACAAACACAGATGGATCCTCTTGTCTCTCCAGAATGACATCTAAATGATCATAGAAAGATATACCAGCATTTCTCCTGTAACCCCTTATTTCCAAGAAAGAGATGAATGGACTAAACTCAGTCTGGGTTTTTTTTTCTGCAGAGGAATACCCAATTATGAATTTAAAATCGGCAAGATCACATTCATCAGAAATTCGCGGCCACTGGTCAAGAAAATGGAAGAGGTGAGTAAGGCTGCGCATTGACATTTTAGTGGAGAGTTTCATGCAACTAACCAGTGCTCTTTCCAGCAGTTCAGCCTGTTGAGATGACTCGTGGTCCCACTAGAATGCTTCTGGTCCATTTCTGCCACAAAGTCAGGACAGCGTAGCCAGTTGTTCACATTCTTGTTTCTGTTAATGAAATTACTGGAACTTGGTTAAAGTGGTATCTTTTATTTAAGACCACACTGAGGATTTTGCTGAGGCAATCTGCGTGCCACCTTGTGGCTTCATATCAGTTGAAAGCCTATCTCCTGAATTTGGTAGTAATTGTCCTTTGGGCGGCGGGGTGTCCCTGGAGATGGGATCTGATTTGAGAAAGATAATTTATTTTATTTTACTTTATTTATTTTATTAAACTTATTAATTGCCCACCCTGCGGGACAGGCTCTGGGTGATTTACAGCACTATAAACAGTTAAAAATACAGTTGATATATAACTAAGATCACAAATAATAAACATGAAATGTTTGTGGCAACAATTTGTATTTACTATTACTATTCTTACTAAGACTCAGAGTGGGTTACACAGTGGAAGTCACTATGATGAGACATCTAATAAGCCATGTACTATGACTAGGATTACAGAAATCCGAACAAACAGAGCGTATGTATAGAGTGCAGATAACAATGCAAGTCTAATAAGCCATGTACTATGACTAGGATTGCAAAAATCCGAACAAGCAGAGCGTATTAGACATGATACAGAGTGCAGATAACAGTGCAGAAAACAGTATTACATGAGTAGAAAATAACGCAGTGACAACAGGGTAATAGTGCAGCAAACAGATAATATGTCCCGTTACACAGTGGTGTAGTCCACATGGTCCCTTTCTCTTTGTAAAGCACCTTCCTGAACCTTTCTAAGTATTGGTCTATTACCTTTAAAGAAAAGCTTTCCTGAACACCTCCGTTTTACGTAGTGTGCGGAATGACAGAAGCATGGAATCCTTCCTGACCTTACGCAGGCCATTCCACAAGGTGGGGGGCACTATAGATAACTGACTGAACAACAACAATGGGTGCTTGGTGATCTTGTCCATGTGCAGGGTGGCACCCACAGAAGCTGATATGGGGGTTCGAGGCCATGCAAGGCTTTGCGTGTGATAGCCAATTCCTTGAATTAAACCCAGTATTTATTTATTTATTGCATTTTTACCCCGCCCTCCCCGCGAATGGGCTCAGGGCGGATTACACAGGGGCACAAACTTTTCCACTTTGCATCTTTAAGCAGCAGCCGGACAAACACTTGTTGGGCATCCTCTAGGCTGATCCTGCATTGAGCAGGAGGTTGGACTGGATGGCCTGGATGGCCCCTTCCACCTCTGTGATTCCATGATTCTGTGGGGGTTTTTTTGCATGCTTAGGGTGTTTTCAGCAGCCGGAGCAGCCCAGATTAGCCTGGGCTCACCAGAAGCTGGAAAATAAGCAGGGTTGGCCAGGGTCAGTTCTTGGAAGGGAGGCCACCAAGGAAGACCAAGGTTGCTATGCAGAGGCAGGCAATGGGAAAACATCTCTGTTTGCCTCTCACCTTGGAAATCCCATGGAGTCACCATAAGTTGGTTGCAGCTTGACAGCACATCATCATTGTTGGGGAGTTTCCTGAGTCTGTCGACATCGTGACCTCATCTGTGGGCGTGGGCTTTGCCTGCTCCCTTTGTGGCAGGTGCTCAGCTGTCGCCTTTGCCACTGGAATGACCTAGCTAACCAAAGGCATTTTCCTCTTCTCAGGATGACCCCGGAAGCCGCTTCATTGCATTTTCTGGAGAAGGCCAGTCGCTGCGCAAGAAAGGAAGAAAACCCTAAACTCAGCAGAGAGACAATAAAATAACCCCGCAGCAGTGTTGTTCACCTTTTAGGTTTTCTTTCTTAAGCAAGGGAGGGGGGGACCCTCTTGCTCCTAAGCGTTTTGGCCCAGTTTGGGTCTTAAGTTGTACTTTCCCGTTCAGGGCTGTTTTTCCTTTTAAGCTGGAGGTCTAAGCCGACAAATACTTCTCTCTCTGGTAGATTGCAGAAAGCAGAGCTCCTAGCATAGTGTCGTCTTGCCTAAGAACAGTGGACTTTTGATCGTTCACCTGGAAGGCAGCTTTCTTTTTATGAGATGTTTCCACATCTTGAATTCTTGTTGCTTAAATGGAACACGTGAAGCTAAGTTGAGGGGCAACCCCCCCCCTAAAGCAAGTGATGTGCCTATTTAATCCCTTACCTGTGTCTTTATGGCACTATTAACACTTTGCTCCTGGCAAGCGACTGAAGTATGATCTCTGTATAGAAACAAGTCAGGTGTAAAGCTGTCGCGATATATTTTCGACCTAAGGCAAATGCCTTCAAGGGAGGGGTATCCCTGAGATAATCAGTTTGCCTGGTTTATTTGACTGGGGAGGAAGGCTGTCTCTAGGTGCTGGGAAATACCCCAGTCCAAGGGAGAAGGCTCCATTACAGCCCCTTCTCCCTGTCATGCTACCTTTCTAAGTGCAGGGCTTTATATAAGGAGCACCCTGAATTGGTGTAACCTAGTCACAGGTTTGTCACTTCATAGCTGTGCTGTGTGTCCCTTCCTTTCCTGGATAACCAATATTTGCACCCCTCCTTTAGAATTTGTTTTTTGTTTCTTCTAAAGTGTACTGTGATGGCTTTGGATTCAGTTCAACTCGCCCAAGGGCTTCTATTCCTTTGAACAGTCAATACCACACTGGTTCCACAATAATAAAAGAGAAACTGGGATTGTCTTCAGAAACCTTTTCTAAATGGAGGGGAGGGGGGGCTTTTCCCCTGAAGCCAGTAGAAGAGATTGGACAATGGAAAGTCTCATATACTGTTGTAGCAGGTGCAGGTAGCGACAAATCCTGACCCACACACAAATACTAGGGCCACAACTACGGGGGCTCTCCAATTGCTCCATGACCAGGTTTCTGCCTGGAAATGGACAGACCCCCTCTCAGTTCATGGAATAGACCAGTGTCGCCAACCTTTTTGACTGTGTGGGCACCTTTGGAGTTCTGACATAGTGTGATGGGCGCTGCCACAAAGTGGCTGCCAGCACCACAGGTGAAGCCAGCCATGAAGTCGCTGCCACAGCTTATCTTCAGTCAGATCTTTGTGTTGCGGTGGCAGGTGCTGCCAGAGCAAATGCTTTAAAAATCTGCACAGCCAATCAAATCTTCATATTTTCCAGATCGAGAAACATCCCTAGCATTTTGCTTTTCAGTATCCAAATTTAAAATCATCTACCTAGCATGACGGTGGGTGCACAGGATAAAGCCAGGTTCAAATTCCCCCCTCTGCCTCAAAGTTACTTGGGCTACCGTGGGCTAGTCACACTCTGCAGCCTGTCCTGCCTCACAGAGTTGTCGTGAGGATGATAAACCTTTGTAAACAAATGGAAAATGTTATAAGATATAACAAGTCGACCTGCGAGCTCACCTCTGACTCAAAGTTACTTGGGCTACCGTGGGCTAGTCACACTCTGCAGCCTGTCCTGCCTCACAGAGTTGTTGTGAGGATGATAAACCTCTGTAAACAAATGGAAAATGTCATAAGATATATATGCGCTTTTTCTTCTTAAACAAGTTGACCTGCGAATTCTTCCTCTTGACTGAGCAAGAAAGGGAAGATGTCAAAGCGCCGCATTTCTTCCATTGCCTGGTGTATCACACTGAGGTTGAGCAAAGTCTGAGGCTTCTCTGCTCCACAGCCGGAAGGGAGCTTTTCTTTGGCCTCTGTCCCCTTGGTAACAACAAAGGCTTGAAGAAGGGGAGGAGCTTGCTGGTGGTGCAGGGACAGTGAAGTGCTGGGGCGGGGCATTCTGCTCAGCTCTTGCTGTGTGCCCCAGCAGCCATGCCTGGCTGAAGACTACTGGCCTAATCTGGTTCTGTCACCATTCGTCACCTCAGGCTCCTGGGGGGGGGAGTATAGGGAGGGGCAGGGCACATTTGGGGGGCGTTGCCCCTGTCAGCCCCCTTTGGCTATGGGCCTGCTTGAAGATTTGAGTCCAGTGGCACCTTTAAGATCAACATTTTTTTATTCTGGGCATAAGCTTTCGTGTGCACACACTAAGTATGCATGTATAACCTATTTAATTCAAGGAGCAATATCAAAAATATTTTTTTTAAATTAAAGAACTGAGAGAGTTCATGTCTATGACAGTGTAATCCCACCTTGTGACCCTTGCATTTATGAAAATAACAGTAAACCAACTTCAAAGGATGTCATCTGGAACAATAGTTAAGCATACACAACAACAACCCACATGCAATAATTCAGGCCTGTTGCATTTGAGCAGACCAGGGTCTCAGTCTCTCTGACTTGTGGCTAGCCAGTCCCTTGAAGATGTACCAATTAGCAGCTTGTGCTCTGCCTTTACAGGTGTTTCTGGGATCTCTAATATATAGTTTCATGGAAAGGCAAGCTTCTGAGGTGAGAGTGCCTCTCCCCGCACTTCAGGATCTCCAATCCCTCACGGAAAAATTACATATAACATCCATTTCAAATAGTCCGTTGCGGTGCTCATCTCCGCTTCAAAGCCTAAGAGCCAGCGCTGTCCGAAGACATGGTCATGTGGCCGGCATGACTAAACACCAAGGCACACAGAACGCTGTTACCTTCCCACTGAAGTGGTACCTATTGATCTACTTGCAATTTCTTGCTTCCGAACTGTTAGGTTGGCAGGAGCTGGGGCCAGAGACGGGAGTGCGGCACACTCGGTCTCGAACTGCTGAACTACCGACCTTCCACAGCCTGCAATTCAGCGTCTTAACCACTTGAGCCACCACAGCTCTTTAACAAGCTTGTACCAAGCCGAGGCGCGAGGAGTGGTTTTGCTTCCAGAAGGTCGGGAGAGGCGCTCCTTAAAGACCCCGCCCCCCCCGGGTTAAAGGTGCCACTGGACTCAAGCTTAGTTCTACACTGATGTTTGTCTTCGAAGTGTGCGTGCACACGAACGCTTATACCCGGAACAAAACTTCTGTTGGTCTTAAACGTGCCGGACCACCTGGCCGGACTCAAACTTCGAGCGAAACCTTAACACTAGGCAATGGCCTTCTTCATTGGCTAAAGGAAGGAGTAACGTATGGAGGAAGGTGGAGCTACGTCAGAACCTTTAATCAAAGAGAAGTGAAGATACAAATTGGCTCTTATTTCCGGCTCTCTCGATATGGCTGAGTACATGGGGAAAGTAAAAGTCACCCTATATTATAATAACAAGGAGCTGCGGTGGCTCAAGTGGTTAAGACGCTGAACTGCAGGCTGAAGGTCAGCAGTTCGAGACCCGGGTGCCGCATGATGGAGTGAGCTCCCAACTCTAGTTCCAGCTCCTGCCAACCTAGCAGTTCGAAAGCAAGACATTGCAAGTAGATAAATAGGGACCACTTCGGTGGGAAGGTAACAGCGTTCTGTGCGCCTTGGCGTCTAGTCATGCCCGCCACATGACTGCGGAAACGTCTTCGGACAGCGCTGGCTCTTCTGCTTTGAAACGGAGATGAGCACCGCAACCCTAGAGTCGGGCCCGACTGGCTTTCGAGCAAGGGAACCTTTACCTTACTATAGTAACAACTTTGTAAGAAATTGTAAGGAAACTTAGCCTGTGTAGCCTTCCCCACTGCTGCCTTTCAGAAGGCTGTGCCTGCTGGATTTCTGCCTGTAAGGCCATTTGGAAAGTTAGCAGGGCAGGGCTCTTTGTGGCAGGCAGGGAAATTTTCCCTGTGGCGCAGCAGCGTCCCCCTACTACACAGGGGAACTGGATTTCTGCTTCTCAGACACCCTTTATAGGCAACAAAACACTGTGCCCCTCTTCAAATAGTCGAACTCTGTATAGCTTGTTTTATCCGGGAGGACCATGTAGGTTACATTTTCAAGTTACATTTTCAAGTTTGGCGTCAGATACGGTCCACCAGTTGAATTCCAGTCTCCTTGTTGCCTCTCTCTGGTGTATTTGTTTGATTCTCTCCTCCCCATCTTCCCGCAAGCACTTCGGGGAGACTGCATGCACCAACCTTGACAGGTAGATAAGGCTGAGTGAGTGTGCCAGGGTGGTCGGGGAATGTTATGGCAATACACGACTCCCCACTCCAACTCTTAGCAGCCGGGCGACCCGGCGAAAAAACAGCCCTAGTTCTGACGCGCTCGAGATAAAACTATGTTGTTGTACGTTTTCAGTCTTTCCGCCGCCCGCACGTGGACTTTTCCCACTGCACTAAGGAACCGGAAGTTTTCTCTGAGAACTATTAAGCCTGCAACCTCTTTGCCCTTAACGTCTACTCACGCGCTTACGAAATCGATAACTGTGCCAATTGGCTGGGAGGGAATGCGTCATAAAGTTGCTCCAGCGGATTGGCTCCCCCCAGTGTCCGGTGCTCTCAGGGGCGGGGCCAGGAAGCATGGCTGATGGGGCGACCTGGCGGGTAAGTGGGGCATATGAATTTGGGCGACTGGGGAATGCGCTGCTGAAAGTGAGCTCAATTGTAGATCTCGGTTCAAAGGTTGCTGAGGATGCATTTCTTTCTTGACACTGTTCAGAGGGCTGGTGCCGTACTGTGTAGTGTGTTGCAGAGGTTAAGAATGTTGGAGTTGTATCTGGGAGACCCAGGTTTGAATCCCTACTCCTGTCATGGAAGCTCACCGGTGGACCTTGGACCAGTCACACTCTCTCAGCCTAACCTACCTCACAGGGTTGTTGTGTGGATAAAATGGAGGAGAAGAGTATGGTGTAAGTTGCCTGGGATCCCCATTGGGGAGAAAGTTGGGTGTAAATGAATTAAATAAATAAATGTGGTGAAGCATGCAGTGATTTTCATGCTTTCTGCACTCAGAAATCTTCCCAGATGCAATTGAACTGCCTGTGCGAAGGGGTGGTTCTTCGAACATTTAAAAACCAGGTTCTGTATTCTTTGCTTCTCTTGTATGTGTGAACTCCATTTGAGTGATTGTTTTAGTGTGTGAGAAATCCCTATACAAAATAGGTCCAACTCCATGTATAAGCAGAGACCTAAAACAAGAGGCACTTTGTATGTTGTATCAGAACCAACCAACATAATGTAAAATAGTGACATTCTAGGACCTTCTTTGGCACAATTGTTGCATGTTTCTTCCAATGCAGTTTCTGCAACCTGGCATGTAACGTAACTGCTAGTTGTCCTTTTTGCTCCTGTTCATGGTTAGAATGGTGTGTCTTACCTTTGCATACTGAAAGATTTGAACTGCATGCCTGTAAGAAATTGTCTTAATGAGTATTTTTGGAGTATTGTGGTTGACTGTTCTGTGTGATATGGCTTGAGATAGATACACAGGACTTCGTTCTGTTCTGCCTTGAAGCAGCTTTGTGAGGAACGGATACCAAGGCTGGCAGGCTCTGTTGAACCGAACGGCATCATCCTTGAACTGAGACCTTTGACGATTGAATCCATCATATCATTATTTTTCAGTAACCATCTTATAAAAGACAATTTATAATAAGGCTTAACAAGCGCTATAACTCATTGGCACTGTGCTTGATCATGGTCAGAAAGTAGCAGCTTCCATAGCGATTTCTGTGGCCTCCTTAAACACGAGTGTACAATTCTTGTCCCTGGCAGCCTCCTCGAGCTTGTGATGACTACCGGTCTGAATGGAAACACTGCCGAAGCATCCGGAACCTTTTCCATCACTACTATACTTATGGGGAAGCGCCTTCCTGTGCGCAGTGGAAAAGGGACTATGAGAACTGCAGAGAGTGGGAGAAAACGAAAAGCTCAGCAGCAAAGGTACGTGGAGCCACTAGGCAAGCATCACACAGTGGAATAACCAAATGGAACCCCTGAGTGGGGCCTGATTTATACAGGTGGGAGTTCACAGCCGTTTGCAAAGCTTAGGACTGGGGAGGATGCATTTGTTTTAGTGATGGGCCGTACGAAATTGCCACACCGCACAAGCACAGTGAAGCCGGTGGACAGCTCCATCATAGAGGATGAAACAGAATAAAACAGCATAGAGGTCATAGAACATCCGAATTATGAGATCCTAATCAATTTTCAGTTGGCGTAATGAGTGTAATCATGCTCATCCGTCATCACCTGTATTTAATGTATCCCTGAGTGGGGCCTGATTTATACAGGTGGGAGTTCACAGCCGTTTGCAAAGCTTAGGACTGGGGAGGATGCATTTGTTTTAGTGATGGGCCCTACGAAATTGCCACACCGCACAAGCACAGTGAAGCCGGTGGACAGCTCCATCATAGAGGATGAAACAGAATAAAACAGCATAGAGGTCATAGAACATCCGAATTATGAGATCCTAATCAATTTTCAGTTGGCGTGTGAAAGCCAGAAAGGGGGAGAAGGTGCTTCCAAAGTGCACCTGATTGATGAGTGTAATCATGTTCATCCGTCATCACCTGTATTTAATGTATCATTAGACACACTTCTAAATGCACGAACAAACTAAAAATACATATAGAAATATAAACGTCCATGCGTGATGGTTGGGGCTGTCAAATGATCCGTTACGGACGAGCAGAGTAATCCTCTGCACGCATGCTCAAAATTAAATCCCACTGAGTGCAGTGGAATTTACTTCTGAGCAAGGGTGCCTAGAAGTGCAAGTGAGTCATTTGCAGTTCCCCTGAAACACCCACGTACGCTTCGACAAACAGAATCGCAAGTCACTCATTAAATCAGCTACTGATTTTTTGGTCATTCAGACTATACTATGGATCTCTTTTTATTTGTTAACATACAGGAACGTCTGTGGCGGCCTCCTAGTCAACAAAAAAATCTGGACACACACGACCCAATCAGTAAAACAAGTATAAAGCCAACAGTTGTGATAGTCTGACCCACAATCAAACAGTCATAAGACTTATAAAGAATGCTGTTTATGTATTGCAATCTAAAGCACTACAAGAAGATACACAACTCAATAGAAAATCCTTGAACCAAGGTACATAATCACATAATCAAAAATGGATCTTCTTCAGGAGCTTTGGCACCATTATGTAAGTAAGCACTAAGATTATTGTATTGTCTCTTGTTATTGGTGTAGCACATATTCTAAAAATTGTATTTTTGTACACTACAGAATATCTCCTGAAGAAAATCCATTTTTTTTGAAACGTTATGTAATCCGGAGACGACGTTGATTATGTGATTATGTACCTTGGTTCAAGGATTTTCTATTGAGTTGTGTATCTTGTTGTAGTGCTTTAGATTGCAATACATAAACAGCATTCTTTATAAGTCTTATGACTGTTTGATTGTGGGTCAGACTATCACGACTGTTGGCCTCCTAGTCAAGCCATCAAGCTCCTTACCTTCTCCTTTAATTGGCTATAGCATCTGCAGGATTTTCTTTTCCCAGCATCTGAGATCGTTTAACCAGGATTAAATCTGGGACCTTCTCTTGCATAAAGTATGTGCAGAGGGGGCCCCAACCTTTTTGAGCCTGTGGGCACATTTGGAATTTTGAGAGACGGTGGTGAGCACTGCCCCAAAAATGGCTTCCACAGCAGGCAGAGCCACATAGAATACAGTCCTCCTCATGCTTCCTGGGAAGAAGGAAAGCCTGAAGGGGGAAATGAAACCACACTTTGACTAAGGAAAGCCCAGGTGCCCACTATTCCTCTTGATCCTTCAACAGAAAACCCTTTCATTTGAATGATGGCAGCCAATAATAAGCTCTACAGGCCCATAGCCACAAGGGCGCATTTGGGGGCAATGCCCCCTCTCCACTGATAAGTGCCACCCCTTTGGGGGGGGGGATCAGAATTTTAAAATATATATATATTAAAAAGATGTGCATGGGGCTTCCAAAATGGGCTTCCCAGGCACAGTCAGGAAAGCTTCTGCCTCATTTTTTTTTCTGGGCCGAAAAATAAATAGGTTTTTAAAAATGCAAATAAAATAAGATGGGCAGTCAGGGAAGCTTCAGCCTCATTTTCTTTTTTTCTGGGCCAAAAAATAGTTTTTTAAAAAGGCAAATAAAATAAAATGGCAAAATGCAAAAGAGAGAGTGAGTCAGAGATCCCTCCACCCCCCCAGCTTACACAGAAAAGCAGCCCAGATTCGAGGGGACTAGAGGTTGCAGTGGAGCCGGAGGTGCTGCTTCTGCTGCTGCAAGAAGAGCAGCAGGCATGGCCGCCCCCCTCCCCACCAACCAAAATTTTTTGGCTACATCCCTGAAGCTCTGCCTCACAATGGCCCTGCCTACTTTCTGAAAAGCTTGGTGGGCACCATGGTTACCTGTGGGCACCACGTTGGGGAACCCTGCCCTGGAACCACACTTTGTAAATCAGTTGATTTCGTAGGACACCTAAATGACGTACGAAATACAGGGCAGTTCTCCAACTGTTGGGGTGATGAGAGTTGGGGAGATGAGCACCACCCCCTAGAGTCGGATTTGATTGGCTTTTGAGCAAGGGAAACCTTTTTTGCAAACCTGGGCAGTCTTCAAGTATGCTTTTTGGAGCCCGGTCACAACTGTGGTCTATCAGGAAGAAGAAGGTGGCCCCAGGGCGTCTGGCGGTAGTTGAACGAAAAGGCAAGCAAAGCCATCCTAGCTGCATGCAGCTCTGGGGTCATAGTGAAAGCTGATTTTTTTAGTTTTAATTTCCCCCCCCCAAATAACGCGACGTCCTGTTTGTTCTTCCAGGACTCCCTCTGCAAGAGTGAAAAAGAGCGGATATTGGAAAAACGGAAGTACGATCCAGTGTGGACCTTAAGGAAAAGCCCTCCACCAGACTGGCAGCTGCCCCTTGATGAAGGCAAACCAAAGTGAGGGTGGAGCTGGGCTTATACTGCTTTGGAGCTCTTTAAAGAAAAGCATTGCGTGGAAGAGTCCCCCCAAACATCAGTCTGTGCTGCTACTGGTCACATGCCTCATCGCTGCTGCATCGTATCGTTTTAAAAGAAAATACAAACGCCTGTTCTGAAACGCTTCCTTACTGGTGTGTTGACAAGCGGCATACTTGGAAAGAACCCTTTGCGATGCAGTTTTGAAGTTTCACTCACAGCCTGAGCAAAAGCCCTCACTAGCGTGATCATAAGATAACTTAGGAGCTGCAGGTGGAGGAACCCATGGGGTGGGCCTTGACTCCATGTACCCAATGAATTGGCTTGATGGCAGTTCGCCCCGTAACAAATCCACGCTGGCTGTACTTGAATAGGCCGGACTAGCCCAAGCTCATTGGAAGCTAAGCAGGGTTGACCCGGGTTAGTACTGGGATGGGAGAACAGGGAAGACCGTGGTTGCTTTGCAGAAGGAGGAAATGGCTAGACACCTCTGTTAGTCTCTCCCCTTGCAAGTCAGCTGCAGTTTGATGTCACTTAATTATTATTATGCTACCATGACCTAGCCGAATCTTGACATCTAATTCTGCTTTATATTGAGTCAAACTGTTCGTCCAGCAGTAGCTCAGTATTGCCTGTCCTGCAAGTGGCTGTCAAGTGGAGAAAGGTGTCTTCCAACAACTTGTTCCCAGAGATGCTTTAACTGGAGATGCCAGGGATTGAGCCTGGGACCTTCAGCATGCAAAACTTGTACGCTGCTGCCGAGCCACACTCTCTTTCTGCCCGTATGGGGAGGTGTAGTGCTACAAATAAGAAGACTTTTAAAAACCAGGGCTGTGGTTCAGTAGTAGAGGAGCTGGTTTGGATGCAAGAGGTCCCAAGTTCACTCTCCAGTCAAAGGGATCCGGTCACAGGTAATGTGAAGGACTTTAAGTGGAGATGCTGAAAAGGTGCTCCCAGAGAAAGGAGATTGTATCCACCTTGATAGACCAGTGGCCTGACCCTGTTCAAGGGAACTTTACATAGGAGTAGCCTTCCGGCCTCAGAGCGGGGGCCCATCTGAATTGTTTGCAAGGATGGCTTTCCAGATGCTGCAAAAGGCATGTGACGGAACGGAAATAAAAGGCTGGTCGCTATAGAGACCATGCGCCAACTCATGACAGCCTCCGTGGAGTCTTTTATCATTTACCCCAGTGAGTTGTGTGCGCACGTGACAGAAAGCAGCAGCACAGCTAAGCAGTGATAGGACTGCTAGGTGGTTCTTACAAAAATCCTCCTCAAATTGGGAGGGGGGAAAAAGGACCTGTCCTGCTTGCTGTGCAGTATGTTTATTAACTGGATCATAGGAATTTTATTTCTGTACCCTGTTAACTAGCTGACAGTGGCTTTCATACTGTCTTATTTGCCATGGAGCAAGTCACAAACCTCTACCAAAATTAAAGTAGAAGAAGAAGAGGAGATTGGATTTATACCCTGCCCTTCACTTGGAGTCTCAGAGCGGCTGACAAACTCCTTTCCCTTCCCCTCCCCTCCCCACAACAGACACCCTGTGGGGAGAACAGCTCTGACAGAACTATGGCTTGCCCAAGGTCATCCAGCAGCTGCGAGTGGAGGCGTGGGGGATCAAACCCGGTTCTCCTAGATTAGAGTCTGTGCACTTAACCACTACACCAAACTGGCCTAAAAGAATCGAAAGGTACTGGAAAAAGTTATTTTGAACTATGAAAATCCAGAGTGATGTTTCTAGCTCATGCCGGAGCCAGTGCGGTGTAGCGGGTAAGAGTGTCGGAGTAGTATCCAGGAGATCTGGGTGGCCTGGGCCAGTCATACTCTCTCAGCCTAACCTCCCTCACAGGGTTGTGAGGATAAAATGGAGGAGAGGAGAATGGCGTAAGCCATGTTTGGGTCCCCACTGGGGAGAAAGGCAGGGTACAAGTGAAAGAAACAAATCTGTACATATATCCTGCCTCCCACAGGGCATCCTGAACATAGGGGCAAGCGGTATCAGGAGGAGTGCAGGCCACAGTAAAAAGACCTGGAACGTTTTAAATAACCTTTTCAAATGAGCAGCAGAAAGGAGAGCCAGTGGTACTGCGGTGACTAGAGTGCCAGGCTGTGGGAAGAGATCCCAGTTCAAATCCTGACTCGGCCATGAAACTCACTGGGTGACTTCAGGCTGGCCTACCTCACAGGGCTGTTGTAAGAACAAAACAAAGGGAAAGGGACCCTAAACACATAGCCCTCAGCTTCTTAGAAGGGGCAGATGATATTGAGATGCCTAGGGGAGTGGCAAAGGTTGAAAACTCCATGATAAGACAGTGAGTCTCCAGGACATGCCCTATTCAAAAGTCGGATTTATTCTTGTTGAGTAGAGTTTGTCTGCACAATGGACTGACAAACGGCCATCTGCAAGTGGGACTTCAGAACCAGATTTACCCTACGGGGCTTGCATTTACTGAACGAAGCATCTCCCAGCAGTCACACGGCAACCGTTCCCCCATCATTGTGTATACACTCTGGTGACGTCATTGCATTTTCCTTCAGGAGCCTCGTATTTGGGCAGCGGGGGCGTGTGCATAGGTTCCTCTCTCTCAAAAGGAAACAGGCTGTCGTCTCGTTGGATCGCTGCCTGGTACAGTTCCTCCGATTCAAGACGCAGCTCATTCAAGGCCTTCTCCTGGGCTTTCAGCAGGGACTGGATGGTTTCCATCTCCGCCTCGCGCTGCTGTTGTTTGTATACGCTCCACTTCTTCATCAGGAGGGCTCGCCTTTCGCTCTCCTCGAAGGACAAGGGGGAGGTGGCTCGTACCCTGACAGAGAAGGCGGGGGGGAACAACAGCAGTGTGTTCTTAGTAATTATTTGGAAGGAAGCTTTTACAAAACTGCACAAACCTATGAAGCGGACTCCTCAGTATTTCCTCCTCTGACTTGTGGCTTTGTAGGGTGTCTGGCAGAGAAAGGTCTTTTCCCAACATATACTATCGGACACCCTTTTAACTGAGAACCTGCAGGGTGGAGTGGTTGGAGGGTCAAACATGGCAGAGTGGGGAACCCAGGCTCAGATCCCCACTCTGCCATGCAAGCTTGTTGGGTGGCCTTGGGCCAGTCACATACTCTTAGCCTAAACCTTACCTCGCAGGGTTGTTGTGAGGGTCAAGTGGAACAGAGAATAATGTAAGCCACTGTGGGTCTCCTTAGGGAGAATGGCAGGCTATAAAGTACATAAATGAGTAAACTGGAGAGGCCAAGGACTGAACCTGGGACCTTCTGCATAGAAATCATGTTCTGCCACTCGGCTACAGTCCCTCCCCCATGAGACCACAAGCAACACTATTCCTTCCTCAAAAGCGACCTACTGACTGTTCAGAAATGAAGTATTAGAGTAACTCGTGGCTTCCTGGAAGTGATCGTCGGGCCTTCTCTTGCTGTTGGTGGGTGAAAAACTGTCTGTTTTAAGTGGGCTTGATTGAGGTGTATGAATCAGTTGATCACCATGCAGAACAGCTGCCACACAATCACAGAGTGCTATGGCGGTTAGAATCTTGGTCTAAGATCCAGGAGACCCAAGCCCAAATCCCCACCTGGCCACGGAAGCCTGCCAGGCGAGCTTCAGCCCGTCACTCATTCAGCACAACCTACCTCAGTTGTGAGGAGGGGTGTGCATTCGGGTCTACCCAAACCAAAAATATACCCGAAAAACGCCTTATTGGTATTTTTCAGGTATATTTCGGCTTCCCAAATGTATCTGGGATTTTTTGGGAGAACCTAAAAAATCCCCTGAAAAATCCCCGATATATTCGGGAATTACCGGCAAAATTGGGCTGCCCAGCAGAGCCTGCGTGAGAACTCTCCCCACAGGATTGGCTCCTAGGCAGACTCTGTTGGGCAGTCCAGTTTAAACCAGGCTGCCCAGCAGAGTCTGTGGGGAGAGTTCTCCCAGCAGGATCAGCTGTTTGGCAGGCTCTTTTGGACAGTCTGGTTTAAAGGGCATGCCCAATAGATCGTCAGTTGAGCTTCCTCTCAGCTGTTTTTAGCTGCTTTTTCCCCCCTCAGTGTTTTTGGGTTCAGGTCTATTGGACCTGAAAAAATTCGGGATTTCCGAAAAATCCCGGATCCAAACACTTCCCCAGTATTGGTATCCCGGTTTTTTCAGGAATCCCGAATTTTTTGGGGTCCAACAGACCCGAACTGAAAAATACCAAGAAAAAAATAGCACACCCCTAGTTGTGAGAATAAAATGGAGGGGAGAGGCTGCCTTGGGTCCCCCATTGGGGAGGAGGGTATAAATAGCTAAACAAAACATACATTCCTACCTTTCTGAGGCACTTGCAACGACTTGTTTACACAATGAGAATTCGGGAGTTATCACAGGATTGTTGTCCTGGAGTAGTAAATTGGGTCACAGCATATTCTGCTGGGTGATTTGGTGTTCATTTGCAGTTTTCTGTATACCGAGGTAACAACCCGGCTTGTCTTGACCACGGGTGGATTGGCCAACAAGGCCACCAGAAAAAGTCCCCATGAGCTGCACCCCGCTGTGAATGGGGCAGGAGCTGCCTTTGCTGCAAGTCAGCAGCTCCTGCCCCGTGGCAGCCAGCCCAAGGTGAGCCAGGTGGAAGCTGTTGGGCGCCTACTCCTCCCCCTCCCCCACTGTTGGGGGAGTGGGCTTTCTTCTTCCTCCTCCCCCCCCCCCGTCAAGGGGACAGGATCCTTTCCCAGGCCGTTTTTGCTTTCCAGGCTGCTCTAGGTTTCGACATAGAAATGCAGATCTTGCCAGGGGCTGTTGAACCTCTTTCAGTGGAGTTTAATGTCTGATCTGCTCCTCAATTGTACAAATGAATCAGACGCTGTCTTAAGCTCTGATGGGTTATCCTGGGATGACGGTATACAAACAGGCCCTTATATGCTTAACATCCCCCATAGGGTCATTTCTACAGAACAGGGCTGAAGTTCTGAATAGCACACGCCAAAAATGGATTTCCTTAAGGGTGTGGGGGCAGGATTAAAATGCTGGTTTGGGAAACATGCAAAAACGTGCAGATTTCCAGCATCTCATCTGCATTCCTTTGCCCTCTGTAGGTCCTTACCTTTTTTCGTCCATATATTTGAATGGTGTAATGAAATCTTCAATAGGGATCAGCTCCTGTGGGGCTTTTTCCAGTTTTTTTAACTTCTTCCTCATCCGATCCTTCATGGCCTGATCTCTTCTCGGATCCACTTTTTTTTTCTTCCTGGGTTCTGCTCTAATGGAGAATAAACCAATCAAAACTCCACCTCAGCAATTACATACACATTGATACAACACTTCATTTTATTTTATTTTTCATGTTATAGTCTCTCTTTCTCAAGGCAGATTACATTTTTTTTAAAAGCAAGAAACAAAGTGTACAAACAATGTAATAAAACTAGGTTACAAAATAAGAAAGCAATGCAATACGTTCATTATAAAAGTCCCATTTGGGGTAGTGTGCCCTTTGGAAAGCCAGTGTGGCATTAACAATGGTCCCCATAAACTGTGGAATCTTGTGAGCAAAAATTCTATTTTGTGAGCTACTGGCATTAAAGTTGTGAGCAAGTGATTTGGCTACTGCATAAATTAGTTTGCCCTGGAGCCATCGTTCCTGAGCTAATTCAAAAATGTGTGAGCCGGAGGCTAAAAAACTGAGCTAGCTCACACTAACTCACTGGTGGCGTAGTGTTTAAGATTATTGGACTAGGATCTGGGAGTCCCAGGTTTGAATCCTCACTTGTTGGGTGACCTTTGACCAGTCACACACACTCAGCCTAACCTACCTTACAGGGTTGTTGTGAGGATTCAATGGAGGAGAGGAGACTGATGTAAGCCACTTTGGTTTAAGTGCGGCCAGAAACGGGGAGAAAAACACAGCCCTACATGAGAAAGGCAACCAAAAAGGTTGAGCCAAAGAAAACATGCTCATATCTCCAATGGAGTGCTCAGGTACAATTTGGCCTAAATCTGTGGACATATGAAATATTGTACATTTTGATGAGTTGCCCATGTTGCATCTCAAGAATATTTATCACCACTTACTCCACAGGTGAACATCTCAGTGTGACTAAGGTCCATTTTGTGTATGATGAGCTTTATGTATATTTTTGTTAAATTTATGGAGGAAAGCTTTTAGCCAGAACGTGATTGGTATTGATTCTTGTATATGGATATAATTTGTACCTTTTAACCTGTATTTATATGATTGGACATTTGTTTTTATTTTAGGATTAGGTACTTATGTGCAGAACCATGGGACCAATGTTCCCTCTAAGCTGAGTTTGTGTGAGCTAGCTCACGGTTTTTTAGCCTCCAGCTCACAGATTTTTGTCCCAGCTCAAGAAAGATGGCTCCAGAGCAAACTAATTTATGCAGTAGCCAAATCGCTTGCTCACAATTTTAATGCCAGTCGCTCACAAGGTAGAATTTTGGCTCACAAGACTCCACAGCTTAGAGGGAACATTGCATGGGACTGTAGTTTTTAAATGACATTTTAGCACTTCTGAACGTATAATTAAATTATATATGATATTTTGCACATTATATTTTAATTTCTTTTGCTTTGTCTCAACCTTTTTGGTTACCTTACCAGCCACTTTGGGTTCCCATTGGGGAGAAATTAGTAGAAACTGTAATCAAAGAGAGAATTATTAGGCACATAAGAGAGACAATGCCTGCTGAGGGAAAACCAGCATGGCTTCTGCAAAGGGAAGTCCTACCTCACCAAAGTAGTAGGTTCAGAACAGACAAAAGGAAATACTTCTTTACACAGAGAAGTAATAAAATGTGGAATTCGCTGCCAGAGGATGTTGTGATGGCCACAAGAATAGCTTTAAAAGAGGCTTAGATTCATGGAGGATGTCTATCAATGGCTACTAGCCATGGTGGCTGTGGGGAACCTCTACATTCGAAGCCAGGAGGCAACAGCAGCCTCTATGCCCTGTTGTTGGCTGTTCAGAGAAACTGGCTGGCCACTGTGTGTGAGATAGGACGCTGGACTATTGGTCTGATCCAGCAGGGCTCCTCTTATGTTCTTAAAGGCAGGATATAAATGAATTACATAAATACACAATGACTAAGGCACGCCCTCTGACAAAAAGGCATTTTTAGAAGGTCTTCCATACAAAAATCGCAAAAGACATGTGTGTCAGAGAGAGCAGTCCTAAGCAGGTCTACTCAGAACCCTGCTCAGCTCTATTCAGTGGGGCTTATTCCCAGGAAAGGGTTCTCAGGATTGCTCTAATACACATGTAAATACATATAATAGACACCTACATGTTCTGGGTCCAGGATGCTGGAGCTACTGCCTTGTCTCATATGAACCACCAACTGTGTACCTTAAAAACCCTTAGAGGTCCTGCTTCACATGTTGCCTCTATCAGTGGTAGAGTGAGTGACCATGTGGGACACAGACTTTATCCCAGTCGTGTCCAGATTGTGGAATTCCCTCCCTAGCAAAGTGTCTCTCACTTCAACCCTGCTGGCATTTATATGCCAGGCAAAGAGGGAACTCCCCCAGAATGCTTTTGAAGATCTCCACTAAATTTGGTAAGTTGCATGCTGACCTTAGGCCAGTCCCCCTTTCTCAACCTAACATCTCACAGGATTGCTATGAGAACAAAATAGAGGAGGGAAAAACCATATTTTTCTTAGAAGAAGGACAGGATAAAAATATGGCTGACATAATAACTTTTTCTCCAGGCAATGTGGAGCGCAGAGCTTGAACTGTTCAGTTTTGTGCTTGAACTAAAAGATGCCAATTCAAATCTTCACTCAACCATAAGTTTACTGGGTGACTCACATAGAGTCACATTTTATCCTGCTTATCTTTTTCACAAGGTCTCTGGTAAGAATAAAGAACATATGAATTTTAAAACACTTTGCATGCTTAAAAGTATCACCAGCTGAAACACTGGAGATCCTTCATTATATTCTCTAAAAGTACATATTTATATAGTTTTCCATTTAGAAAAAGTGGTCTAAATACCTTGAATAATGTGAACTACATTTTACCTCATGGGTAGAGCTGCCCCAAGTGCCAGAAGTGAAGACTGCCAGTGGTTCTCTCGACCTTGAACATAGCAGGTTAACTGGGAGCTAAGAATAATTGGGGGGAAAAACCTCTTAGATCAGTCACATTTGAAGAACAGGCTGTCTTGGCAAGATTCAAGTCTCACAAATTCCATCCAGTAACAAAAATCATTCATTCTTTCTGTGATTATTTGCCATACTGCAGTTCACCTAAATAACTTTCCAAACCTTCATACATATAACTAGAGGGTGACATAATTTTTCTTTTCCTGATACAGCAAAGCAAATTGTAACTGTCTTTATGAACAGCTGGATACACGGTGGCCATATCAACAGCTACTTTGCTGCCACATTAAAAACAAAAACAGTCTAGCAGTGCTTTCAAGGCTCACGGATTTACTGTAGCATGAACTTTGGTGGGCTACAGACCTTTCAATCAGATGCAGCAACAGGATATTAGCAGCAGTTAATTACAACGGCTGGAAAAGGAACTTCCACGTTCAGAGGCAGTCTACCTCTGAATATCAGAATATGAAAACCAAAGGATAGCCGTTGCTTTCTCCCCCTGCTTATTAGTCAGCTTCCCTGGCTGGAGACACTAGCCACGGTTGGAATTTGGAAACAAGATGCCCATTCAAACCAGCAACTACTAGGAAATATTTACATTCTTAGTTTAAAATTTAAAAATGTTAAAATACTTCTCTGTAAGCAAGTTTCTACCAGTACGAAAAAGCGAGAGCCCAATAGCACCTTAAAGACTAACAAAATTTGTTGCAGGGTATGAGATATCTGAAGATGAGCAGTGACTCACGAAAGCTCATTAAGGTGCTACTGGACTTTTGCTTTTTTCTGCTGCCACAGACGGACTAGGCAGCATGGCTAGTAGCTATCTTGATCAGGTTTCTATCGACATCAGACTAAATGCGCTTTATTGGGTTGGGGGGGGGGCACTTACCTACACAAGGGGCCTCCTGCCCTACATCGAAGCAGGCTCAGCACACCTGATGCCACTGCCTGGGCTAACATGGTTTCAACACACGCTCCGGCCCGCAGTACCTCCACACCCGCCGCAAGACGCCAGTTCTCGCCTTCCCAAACGGGGAACAGATCCGGTGGCGCACTCCCGTCCGTTAGCAATTACTGTCCTGCCCGTTCGCTCGCCTTGCAACAAAGGGTCCGAGTTGCATTCAAAAGAATTTTCGCCTCTATCCCTCCACCCACTCCGGCTAGGTAGAGTTGGAGAAGCCCATTTGTTGCGTTTGCAGTACAAACGTATCCAGAGTTACTCCAGTCTAAACCCATTAATATCAATAGATTTAGACTGGAGTAACTATGCACAGGATGGATTTGTCCTATTGGGGTTGTATCGAAAGTACTGTCAGCAGAGCTTTCCTGCCTCCCCATTCCATACTTTGTCGCTTCCTGAAATGTAGGATGTAGGATGAAACTGATAGTGCACACTAACAGTCCAGTCTTAAAGTTAGAATCCAATGGCACCTTTAAAACTAACAAAGTTTTATTCAAGGTGTGAGCTTTCGTGTGCATGCACACTTCGAAAGTCTTAAGTCACTCTTTGAACTCCCCAAAGTATATTCAGAGTTGCAGTCTTGTTTGAAATCTCTGGAACATACTTCCCATTAAATGCATTTGTGCTGAACAAGCGGGGTTTGCTTATTCTCCTGGAGAGGCTTTGGGAATCTGTTCTTGGAAGCAAGATTCACAATGCTATCCTGCGTTCAATGGAGCTTAATCTCTGGTGAATGTGCAAAGGATTGCAACTTTAAACTCAACTAGAAAATCTGAGGTTTTAGCCCTGGAACATATTTTATTGACCGCAAATTACAACTTGCTGGAGGGGGGACTTACCTCTGCACCTTTATCCCCAATTCCCCAGTAGCTTTTGGGTCATCTGAGTTTAATTGGGTCATTTGCACCCAATTAATCTGCATCACACCTCCTCTGTTCCTTCCTAAGACTGTAGAGTCTGGAGACCTCAAAAATTTGGTCGCACCTTTATGAAACTTTGTCCAAATACTTCTGTGTTCTGGCTTTTGCTCCCCCCACCCTTATGTACCAACATGGATGCCTGCGATTTCTGGAACAGGCGTAACAAGAGTATCCCCCGAACCAGAGGACCGTCCCAGACCTCCTCCGGAGGTGAGTACTGCCGAACCCAGTACTGTCCCAGTGGTAGGGCAGACCCCTAACTGCGGACCCGCAACAGGGGACGGAAGTGTACCTGACTCTGAGATCCCAGAGTCAAGCAGAGTCCCCCAAGCTGAGCTGTGTCCTGAGCCTACACAGCTACGTAGGTCTCAGCGGGTGCGCCGAGCACCGACCTACCTAAGTGATTACGAGTGTACCTGATTGTTTTTACTTAGGGGGGTGGAATTGTAATGCATTCAACGGCAGCTTATGAATACATTACAATTCCTCCGGGAGCTCATTCCACCAGATAGGAGCCGCCACTGAAAAGGACCTGGTCCTCGTTGCGGCAAGCCTGGCCTCCTTGGGGCCCGGGGTCACCAAGCGGTGTTGTGACCCCGACCGAAGTGCTCTTTGGGGAATATATGGGGAAATACGGTCCCTCAGTTATGTCGGACCCTGGTCCCGCTTGCAGGGAGGGCGGGGTAAAAATGCCTAAATAAATAAAATAAATTAAATTTTAAAAAATGTAGGGCTTTAAAGATAAGCACCAGCACTTTGAAGCGAATCTCTGTATGGAGAGGTTCCCTTTAGTCGCCATGGCGAGTAGTCTTTAATAGACCTCCTCCACAAAACTGTCTAATCCCCTTTTAAAGCCGCCTGTGCTAGCCACCATCCACTGGTAAGGATCTCACAACTATTGTATGGCATCCCGATATGGATAAGAGCTCTTGACAGTGCCACCGATTGTGTCCAGTCCAAATTCCTACGTAAAGTTTTGGGCTTGCCAAAGTGTGTCCCATATGCAGTTCTTTGCTTAGAAACAGGTCTGAATCTAGTCGAAACCAGAGCATGGCTTATGACGTTTAAATATTGGCTATGTCTACAGTATAGTTCTGACCCAGGGAGCCTCATATACCAAATGCTCTCAGAGTCTAACATGTCAAACTGGCTAACTTATATTGAGGACAAAATTAAGGCTATGGATATATTTTTGGATTCACTGACTATGCTCCCATCAGCGGGTGCATTCCAGTTGATCAAACAGAGGATGTTGGATATTGAGCGTCAGGAGTTACACAGTCTCGCCAACAAAACCTGCTCTCCTCTGAGCTTTGTGATTCCCCTCACTGTAGGTAGGATGGCTTCATATTTATCCTCCCTACAAGCGCCACAACTATGCAGAGCTTTCTCTTTAGCCAGATGCAATGCCATGCCATCTGCCATTCTATATGGCAGATTCCGTAAGACAGCATATGCAGCTAGACATTGCCCTTGTGGATCTGGATGTGTCGAGACGGTCTTACATGTTTTGTTGTGATGTCACTTTTATGTAAATATAAAGCGCTAACAGGGCTTTTTTTGTAGAAAAAGCCCAGCAGGAACTCATTAGCATAATATGCCACACCCAACAGTAGAAACACATTAGCATATTATGCCACACCCCTGACAGAGCAGCACATTAGCATATTAGGCCACACCCCCATGCCACCAGAAGTGTGGTCATCCAGCCACACCTACCATTTGCTTCTTATTCTGTTTACCTTGTTTGTTGTCAAAACCCAGGGCTTTTTTTGTAGCAGGAACCCTTTGCATGTTAGGCCACACACCCCTAATGTAGCCAATCCCAATGCGTTTCTGCTGTTGGGTGTGGCCTATTATGCTAATGAGTTCCTGCTGGGCATGGCCAACTCAGGAGCTAGCCGGAACTCCGTTCCTGTGCGTTCCTGCCCAAAAATAGCCCTGCGCTCTAAATATCTAAACTCTATATTGGCCAACATGATGGGTTTTTCAGATTCCCAAAAAGGTTACAGACTTTTGAATGATTCCTCTGTTGAAGTAACTGAGAAAGTGGCTAAGTTCCTTCAATCCGCCATGCTGCTACGCCAAGGAAAAGTACAGTTGTAACCTATTATTTTATTCAATGTATTTGTAATACAGTGTCCTACTTGTATACTTTGTTCTACTGATACATGCCACTGGTAAGGAATCTCACAATTTAATTAACCCACTGAGTGAAGAACTTACTTTTGTCTGCCCTGAATTGATTGCCCATCAGCTTCAGGACTTCCCGACTGTGGCAAAATTTATTCCTAAATGAGACTAGGCTTTTCTGAGCCGCATGTTGAATTGGCTTTAACATCTATTCTTTGGTTGAATATCCCACAAAGCTTTGCACCCAGCCAGTGTTATATTCTTTCACGCCAGCATTACTCTGCATGTGCCCTTGGTGTATGTGCATAGCTGATATCCCAGGAGACAAGGACACCAGGCTGAAGTCTAAACATACAGATTATCAGTATGTGAGGATCCTTAGCTGTTTATCCTTAACAGAGAGGCGGTCAGAGCCTCTTGACCTCATCGATAATAAATGAGTATTAGGGTAAAGTTTATACTACAAACGTATGAAGAGGGCTATTTCTTGTCAAGCTCATCCCATTCCTAAGTGACATGTACACTTGAATCTATAGGTAGCAGAAAAGTATATATTGCTTGTGCTCATAATGCTCTAGACTGCACGCCAACAATCCCTGGTTGATTTTGTGAGGGTCAAGGTGGGCAGATGGAGCGTATTCCAAATTTCTATATTCAGAGCTCTCTATCTTGGGTATGTATCATAGGTTATGCATTAAGATCGCTTCTTGTTTCTGAGGTTCAATACATACTTTCCTTGTGACCCAACTGTCTCTCTCCCACTCTGGAAAAGGATTCGCTCTCTAGCTGGTCTCTATCCAGCCAATTGAACTCCGGTGGGGTCTGAGACCCCAGGAACCAACCCTGGGCTCAGAATTTCCCTATCACTAGCACAACTAACAGCCCCTGACAGCCTTATCCTCCAAGAACCTTATTCACCATCTTTTAAAAAGCCATTTTAAACAAGTGGCCGTTGCATCCCTTGACAGACTAACATTCTACTGGCCTTCCCCACACAAAGAGAGAACACAGGCCTACCTTACAGGGTTGTTGTCCGACATAAATAGTAAATAACCCTTACATATAGAAGATACATGTGTGGCAGTGCTCTGAACGCCTACAGGGGCCCATAAATCCTTACAGCTAGAAAATGTGCACGCAGCAGTGAGAAGAGATTGGATTTATACCCCACCCTTCACTACCCGAAGGTGTCTCAGAGAAGTTTACAATCTCCTTTCCCTTCCTCTCCCCACAAAAGACACCCTGTGAGGTAGGTGGGGCTGAGAGGCCGCTGAGAGAACTGCTCCTGAGAGAACAGCTCCGAGAGAACTTGTGACTGACCCAAGGTCACCTAGCTGGCTGCACGTGGCGGCGGACTGGGAATCAACCCCCGCTCTCCACATTAGACTCCTGCCGCTCTTAACCACTACACCAGACTGGCTCTGAAAAGTGCCAATGCATCACCATCCTGCCATACAAAGCAATGAGACTTCTTCTAGCCCCTAATCAATAGCAGAGAATTTCCTGAGGAAGAAAGGGTGTGTGAGTGTGTCTGACTGTGCTTAGGGGAGCCCCGGTGCGCCAGCCGCCTCTCCCGGGGTGGGGGGGGGCTGTCTTCTCGGGGCCACCTCCTCCTCCCTCCTCCCGTGGCCGCTCTGCCTGCCTCCCGCCACCTGGCACGGGCGGCCCCTCCGCTCTGGGCGTCGTCCCTGTTTCCCGCCGGGCCGCTTAGGTCGTTGCCCTCCGCTGACTTCCGGCGTTGCCGGGGAGCCGCAGGGAGCGGGGGATGCGGCCGGGAGGTGGGCGAAGAAGGGGCGGCAGCGGCTGGCGGCGGGACGGCGGCGGCCTCGAGGGATGGAGCTGCCGTGAAATTTATGTAGGCATTAAATCACTAGTCTATCAGGAAAGCACCTTTATCTCAGTAGGGCAGGAGCGGCGGTAGTGCGGGGCGGCGGGGCGCCGGCTCGGAGGCCAGAGCAGTCCCGGCCGCCGCCTGCCCCGTCCCGCTGCCGCTCCCAACACGGAGGCCCAGGGAGCCGGGCGGCGGCGGCGGTGGCGGACGAGAGGAGGAAAGGGAGGAGGAGGCGGAGGAGGAGAAGAAGAAGGAGAAAAATGAAGCTCCTGAAGCCGACCTGGGTCAACCACAATGGTGAGCGGCTGGGCTCTGCCTGTGCCCCAAAGGGGGCTCTCTCGGAGCATGTGCAGAGTGCGTCCCTGCCGACGGAATGACAGCTCCAATGCCCGCAGGAAAGAGGGCTGTGCTTTGGGGACCTCGAAGCGAGGGGTATAATGCCCTTTCTTGCAGCTAGGGTGCGGGGGGGGGGGGCTGCTGAGCATGTGCAGAGTGCACCCTTAACTCTCCAGCAGGGCCAGAGGATTGCGGTGTATATGCTGTAGGGGAGTGGGGCTGAAAGAGGACAGGGTTTTCGGTGCTTTAGCGGTGCATCTCCTGGAACCTAGAGGCATGTGTGTGCAGGGTGCCCTTTACCGAGTCTAGGATGCATGTGCAGAGTACATTCTGTGGGCAGGAGAACTAGTGCATGTATGTCAAGGGACCTCTGAGCATGTGCAGAATACATTCGGTGGGCAGGAGAACTAGTGCATGTATGTCAGAAAGAAGACAGTGTTTTCTAGTACTTTGTAGTGCATATCCTGGCACCTCGAAGCATGTACAGAGTGCCCTTTGCTGTTTGCACAGGGGGAGGGCAGTGTGCTGCCTCCCATAGCCAGGGTACCATCGTTCATATGCCCACATGGTGGATACTACTATGTTTTCCAGGACTTTAGGGGTTCAGGCTGTGGGACCTCTAAGCCTGTGCAAAGTACCTTTACCTCATTATCGAGGAACCACAGTGCATAATCAAGATGGGCAGCCGTGTTTGTCTGTAGCAGCAGAAAAGAGCAAGAGTCCAGTAGCACCTTAAAGACTACAAAATATTTGGCAGGGTAGAAGCTCTTGTGAGTCACTGCTCACTTCTTCAAAGTATGTGAGTCCACACAGCGGTGAGTGGGATAGGGGTGCATATTGCAGTGATTCCGACTCAGATGATGGGCAAAGTGCTTCTTCCCCGGTGAGTAGCTGCGGGTCATTCCATGTCCACTGTTCAAGGAGGCAGGCAGGGCTTTCAGTAGGGGTGCCCAGGAGAAAGTTCTGGTATCCTACACGTTAAAAAGGTATGTTAACTGAAGTCGGAAATAACCAAAGTAATGCACAGTGCCGAGAGTGGGATGGAGGTAGGTTGTGTTTTCCAAGGTTTTATGGACTCAGTGTGTAGGAAGAAAAAGGTTTCTGGGCATGTGCAGAATTCTTTTTTCTCTCCACTGAGGAACCAGACGTGCATCTCTAGTTGAACTGTAAGGTGGATAGGTGTTTCTGGCTACAGGATGAGGGACTCAGAAATAGACTTGAGCACCAATGTCCATATTATATAAACAAGTGAAATATGCTTGAATGTTATGATTTGTGGACAGGGTTGAGGTACTAGGAAATATTCTTGCAGCTGTAGCCTCCATTGTGCAGTTGGCTGGAATCAGGGAGGTTAGACTGGAGTAACTTTGCATAGGATTGCAATGTATGTCTCTTTCACATCTAAGAAGTTTGGTCTAGCTCCTGTACCGGGTGTTCACAGTTCATTTTGCTAAACAGGATTGCTGGCTGTGAAGACCTGTATGTGTTTTCTGTGCATCAGCTACAAAAGCAAAACCAGACTCGAGTTCATCTTTAAGCTGAATAAGCTTTGCAAGAGATCAGCTGTGGAATGCAGGTTTTAGAAAAGGAACAGGATGCGAAGATCAAAAGCTTTTTTAATGTACACCTTAAATTATGATGGGAAGTGTTGTACCGTTTCTCTTTTTAGCATATCTTTTTTCAGAACCTGATCTGAATGAGGACAAATGCTTTTATTTTGGATTATGCGGGCAAATTAGTGGGTGAGATCAAAGGAGGAGTTCTACCTCATTTGTCTGTAACATTGTTATACTTCTAGATGATGCCAAGCGGGTGTCTGCACTAAGTTCAGCATCATAGAGGTAGATCAGTGGTCTTCCACCCGGGATCCACAGAGCTGCAAGATGTGGCAGGAAGTCATGTGACATCCGTGTTATGTGACAAGAAGAGGAGGAGCCAGAGTTTTAACTTCACCTCTTTCAAGGCCAGGATTATGAGCAGCAGAGCAATGGAGCTATGGACAGGAAACAGAAGCTAAGCACCAAGAGATGTACCATAGTGAGGAACAAGTCATGGCAAGATGACAGCCACCACTGTCCAACTGGCTCTTCTCAGCCATGGGTGAAGAGCAGGAGGCATGTCACCCTTGCTCTCTAGGCAACTGGTCCTCCCAGAAATATGCTAGCCCTGTAAGCACCCAACAGGAAGGACTCTGTGTCCTATTTCGGGGTCCCAGCCCTGAAGGCCACTGTGGTGAGGGTTTCCAGGGAGAGTTCCAGGGATGACTGCTGAATTAATTCAAAAGAAAACAAGCCAGTGTGCTGTACTGGATAATGTGTCACCCTAAGACGTGGGGAGTCCCAGTTTCAAGTCCCCGTTCCCCAGAGAGCCAGTTTGGTATAGTGGTTAAGAGTAGCGGACTCTAATCTGGAGAACCAAGTTTGATTCCCCACTCCTCCACCTGAAGCCTGGTGGGTGACCTTGGGCCAGCCACAGCTCTCTCAGAGCTCTCTCAGCCCCACCTACCTCACAGGGTGTCTGTTGTGGGGAGGGGAAGGGAAAGGAGATTGTCAGCTGCTCTGAGACTCCTTTGGGTAGTGAAGAGCGGGGTATAAAAACCAACTCCCCTTTTTCTTCTCCTCCTCCTGTACATGGAGACTTTGTGCCAATCATGATCTCTCACCCTGGCCTATTTTACAGGATTGTTGTGAAGGTAAAATGTGGAGTCAGAATCATGACTGTCATCCTGAATACCTTTGGAGGAAGACTGGTGTAAAAATCTAATAAAAATTCATTTACAAACATTCTTTAAAATGTGTATATGGTCTGAAGGAGCAGTTCTTGTTAATTTGTTCTTTTGGACTAGTTGTGCTGATTGCATATTCTTAAAGTGCAGGGAACAGTCTTGATGTGGATGATTTTAACCATGCACAAAGCATGGGAAAGTGTTTACCCTGCAGATGAGGAGCATAATGTTTTTAAAATTTCTTAATTGTGTGTAGAGTGTGAAGATTGTGTAGCAGCCATAGGCGGGGGAGAGGGTCTCTATTTTTAAGACTATTTCCACCTCCTACTTTGGCTTTTGTATCTGGAGCTTTATGTTGTCGCCCCACCCTTGCTAGTTTACAGAAGTGACCGTGTAGTCTCCGTAGTTGTCCAAACTGCAATCATGTAACAGTGAGGTTTGGTAAGCATTCACGTTTTAACCAATGACAGAAAATGCTACGTTTTATTATATTCAGGAAGGGTTCTAGCTTAGTGGTGGACCACCCATTTACTACCTTAAAGGTTCCGTCCTCGGCATCCCTAGTTAAAAGAGTTTCAGTATCACATTTTGCTGAAGCCTGTTCTCAGCCTGGGGAGCTGTGGCTTCTCACTTATGTTCAACCCATTATGTTTGGGTGTTTCCTTGATACCACTTGCCTTTGTAGTGTGAGAAGCAGAAGTAAAAAAAAACAAAAACCGCCCCGTGAAAATGTTTACATACTAGCCTAACTTTTAAAACTAATAGTTTTGAAGCTTCAAGATGTTTTTGGTATTATAAATACAGATAGAATGCTGGAAGTGGAATAAGTAAAAGTCGCCTGTCTTACACTGATGAGGAGTCCTGCTGTAGTGTCTGGGCGTGTTTTCACATTTGAGTCACACAAAGATCCTTAAGATAGGTCCAGGCGGGTAGCTGTGTTGGTCTGAAGCAACAGAACACAGTTTGAGTCCAGGGGCACCCTTCAGACCAACAAAGTTTTATTCGGTTAAGACGCTGAACTGCAGGCTGTGGAAGGTCAGTAGTTCAGCAGTTCGAGACCCGAGTTGCCGCATGACGGAGTGAGCTCCCGTCTCTAGTTCGCCTTAACCTTTCCTCATAGGGAAAGTGTTCCAACCGTTTTATCATTTGAGTTGCCCTTTTCTGCACTTTTCCCAAAGCTATAATATCCTTTTTAAGGTGTGGTGACCAGAATTGCACACAGTATTCCAAATGAGGTCGCACCATTGATTTATATAGGGGCATTATGATATTGGCTGATCTGTTTTCAATACCCTTCAGACCAACAAAGTTTAATTCTGTCTATAAGCTTTTGTGTGCGTGCACACTTTTATTTTATTTCTTTGGATTTATATCCCGCCCTCCCTGCAAGCGGGCTCAGGGCAACTTACAAGATCACATAAAATACTATGGCAGAAAAAGCAATTAAAATCTTAAAATGTCGTGTTTCGTACACAACTCAGAGTGAGAGTTGCCTCGGTAGTGGTGCTTAGATGGAGAACCTTCCGAGTGGTGTTGAGGGGTAGCACTTAAAATGTCATGTTTTGTACACAACTCAGAGTGAGAGTTGCCTCGGTAGTGGTGCTTAGATGGAAAACCTTCTGAGTGGTGTTGAGGGGTAGCAAGCCACTAACCACTAGGCTAGGGCTGTCAGCCGGAGAGGCCAAGAACGGGATTTGGACTCCCGCTGCCTCAGCTGAAAGCTCAGTAGGACAGCTCCCTTTTGCAGATCCCACAGGGCCCTCATCTCAGATGGGAGCTTGTTCCACTAGGCTAGTCGAGGCTTGCCAGATGTCCTTTGGGCCAGGGACAACCAGAAGATGTCGATCAGCTCAGCGCAAGGCTCTGCGGGGCACATGCGGGGAGAGAGGGTCCCTGAGATATGCAGGTCCCTGGCTGTGTAGGGCTTTGCAAGTCAGCACTGGAATCTTGAACTGGATCCCGTACTCTGTAGGCAGCTAGTACAGTTGGCGGAGCACTGGCTGAACGTGTGCCTGCCTGCACAGGCATTGCTATCAGCACGTGTGCCGCTGCGTCCTGCACCAACTGCAGTTTCCTGATCAAGTTCAGGGGCAGCCCAGTGTAGCGTGAGTTACAGTAATCAAGCCTGGAAGAGACCATTGCATGGATCACTGTGGCTAGGTCCTGGGAAGTGAGATGGCGAACCAGTTGCTTGACCAGCTGAAAATGATAGAAGGCTGATCTAGCAATGGTGGCA